CCTATACCAACCCGTCTGGCCAGCGTGGTATAGTAGGCCAAAACCTCCTTTCTAAGGAGGGGCCTATGTCCAGCAGTTTACTATTAAAGGCTGTTGATGTGATGTGATATAGAAATTGACATTGATAGAAATAGAAGACTCATAAAACCAATGGCAATAAACAACTGGAAAAAGTATCACCGACATTAATGCACATAAATCATGCTAATTTTGCAATAAACTGTAGATATTCTTTATCCTTCAATTTAGATTCGTAAACATGGAATATCCTGACTGCTAAGCCAGAAATCTTGGATTCGATTCCTACCCAGGACAAATGTTGTGAAACGAGCACGACTAGACGGCTCTGGCCACGAGGACACCAAACGTGAGCGTATGTAACATGAACAGTCCAACAAAGGTATAATATACAGGATGTTCCTTGGTAAACAAGCGTATTAGTCACTGCATAGATAGAGACGTTAAATCGCAAAGAAGCATGTAAACACGCCACCTCATACACGATACTATTCTACTATACGTACATCTACTCCTATTATAATATTTCTTTCATGTGGAAATTTCCACCTGTGTTTTTGTTGAGGCTATGTAGATTTCCAATTAAAACTACAGGTGTGTGATACTGCACCGGAAATCAGACGAGTCCGGGAACTTCTATTGTGAACACACTTAAGAACCCTTCAGGTCAGCTCTCAAAGTCGCGACGTTGTACAACTGATATGTAATTATTATGAGACACTTTTTGGTTCGTCCAAGAGCCGAACCAACTAAATCCTGTGTGCCATACTGCATCTAAACTAACACAAGCCTGATAATATCTGTCGATCACACACATCAGGTCCTCCCGCGAAAGTCGTACCTATATAACAGCACCATCGGGTTACGTTATAATTAGACGACGTTAACATGCATTAAATTAATTCACCATTGTCTCAAGCTCCTAAAAGAGAATAAATCGTCCGTTTTTAAAGCGAAAAGTATCGTATGTGAGTTACAGTCAATAACATTCTGACCATACACTTCGTTTATAAATTCACCCACTTGTTATCGTCGGCACTATACTTACCGATACTTGTATCCTTACTAGCCGTGGATAAATAAAGATGTGTCCCTAATTGTATGGTAATTGGAGAAAATGCTTAGCAGTTGACTTCCTGCCAAGTTACCGTTTTACCACTTTTGTTACACTAAGAATGTCATTGAGTTTATTTGCAAAGATACCAATTTATCTCTCTATATACAAGCAGAACGAAACATTTACTGACACTTTAATTAATCTATAAAAATCAATCACATACTAACTTGTAAATTTTGATATACATTTGTTAATTGTCAATTATGTGCAAATGTGTACGGGAATTCTTATTTATATACGGGAAAACACGTATTAGGTAGTTGGCCGTGGCATGCGATCCTGACCTGGCGATGACCACAACCAAAACAACCTGGTCGAAACGTCAGGCAATCAAAGGTATTAAATTCCTGTATACATGCATTCAACTTCATTCTTCGAACTGAATTGCATTCCAATACAAGTGTTTAAAAACACACACGAGAAAATTTTCTAAATATAATAAAATATTTACATAATTGTGCTACACAGCAAAGCATCGTCAGGTTTCTTGCGTAAAACAAAAAGCAGTGATGAAAACGGTAAGAGATACTTTGCTCAACATCATTTTTCTTGTGTTCATTGACCCATTAAGACTGTTCTAACAGTAGTAGCTTCAACAAACTCATTAGACTGAGTAACCCTTGACCAGAAACTACGAAATGTTGTTAGAGAAAAGTATTTACTTATCTACAAACTATTGAGTTGCGTTATCTTCATTTTTGTGACGTTTACAAGTGGCGATAGTTTAAATAACGTTTCGCTTACATATATCTCTATCTTTTAATGTGTTTTTATAAAAATATCTCTCTCTCTCTCTCTCTCTTTAATAGAATCAGATTGTAAATTTGTAAATATATCTACAAGATGCAAAACTAAGTATTCTTAGATTCTTCTTGTTAAATACCACATCATCACCTCCCTTCCCCTTCCCAATTTTATATGGACATTGGGCACAATCTAATATAATATTAAATACATCCAGCAGTGGACTGCAATAGGCTGATGATGATGATTGGGAACAATGCTTTACATTACCAAAGGTATTTTGGTTGGTTTCTTGTATATCTAACAATGGTTTTCAAATGCAAATAAAGAAAGCAGGAATTTGGTATAATGAAAGTCAATATTACAAGGGAATTCAGGTAAGGGATAAAATAGTCTCTTATGGGAGACAGAGCTATAATGCTCAAAGAGTTAGGGTCACATGCACATGGCAAACAAAATACATTGTATGATTATGTGTGTGAATTGTAAACAACTCCTTTCTTCACTCACACATTTGCAAATAATCATTGTTTCAGAACCACTCTACATTTATTGGTTTCAATTTCTAAAGTAATAATTGTTCATTAAAATCGCTGGTACTTGGTGCTACTGACCAGGGCCTCAATTCTACTATTTTAATATTGTATCAATAGACTGTCGATGGCATGTCATCGGAATGGTTTTGCATTTTTCCTATTCTACTAACTATGTAAAACCAATGGCCTCCCAATGACTTGTCACATGACATGTCATAGAACATTATAAATTTGTAAGAAAATGATATATGTATTTAATTTTCCAGATATGGCAAGGTTGTTAATATCACCATTGGTGTCCTATATTATTATTTAGACAGTCTATTGACACAGTGAATTTATGTTAGTAGGATACCGATATTTTGACCCATGTCAATGGCATCTTAATAGCATGTCAATGGAATGACAGTGGCTTGGTGTTAACATAAAATAGCAGAATTAAGCCCAGGTTATTCGCTTGCCATGCATACACATACATGTATCTTGTTATTAGAGAAACCATTAGTCCAGAAACATCAATTGGTCAAATAACACATATGTAAATATATCTTCCCATATGGCAAGATACTGACAAGCTTATGCACAGAAATTTAAGTTAATTTTATCCAGATATTGAAAATGGAAGTGATGATGTAACAACAAAATCTTACTTTGAGGGAGATACTTTAACTATGTATTAACAGACAACAGTCTTTCTAAAGAACTTTGATATCGCCTAGTACTTGGGTTGTGAAGGTCAGATGGCAGTCACTCTGTGTGAAAAATTGAAGTTGAACCATATAACTTAAAGCCTGACGCCAACCTAGTTTGGTAAAAGGCGAAGAGGAAGACTAACTGTTCAACATTGACCGTATCTCTTAGATTGATGATTCACATTCTTTTTTAAAACTGTCATTTACACTTAAAGTATTTAATGATTGCAAAATACAATGCTTCGGTATATCATATTCCTTAAGTTATTGCTTATTTATGTGAAGCAAAGCATTAATGGCAAATCTTATAAGATTGTTGTTTTATTTCATTCATTTATATATGTGTTTTTTCAGTCAATCTAGCTTTTATAGTACAAGCTTTGCTTAGTTTGAAACTAGATGGCATTGTGTGTTAGATGGCCAAAAATATTATATTATGTGAGCATGTGGTTAAGTAAGTAAATAAAATACTAAAACTTAATATATGGTATCTGGTGCTAATCCTTTATTCTTGTTTTACTATTATTTTTATGTTATAATTATAGTTATAATTATTATGTTACTATTATTTAGTATCACATAAAAATGAACAGTGAAAAGATTTTGCTAATTTCAGCATTCTACCTCTAGCATGTCCAGTCCTTATGTAATGTGTAAATCTGAAGAGGCTGTGACTTCAACAGTGGTTTTCTTCAATGGTTGCCAAAAAAACATTATTTTGAAATAATGAGACTATAGCACAGTACTATCACTAACTTATCTATAATATCTATGTTTTTCAGAAGTCTGTTTACTGTAACACAGGCACAGGTTTGCCTGTTGTGAGATATGTGTAAGTTTAATTATCATTATCAAATCATATATTTCTTTGGGCTAAAACTTTGACAAATGTTCTATGAACAATAAGCTGCTATCTTGGCCAGCATAACCATGTAAAATATATTCACAGCAGCCTTAAAATGCTTAATATGTAATTATTGTCCATCTTATTATTATCTTGTCATCTTTCTATTATGTCATTATTATTATATAAAAAGAAATATATAAAGCATTTAAAAGCCTGATGACTTATTTGAAAAATATTTGGCTTGCATATCCATTTTTTGCATAGTCTAGGGGTGCAAATGAGCAGACGGGTCACCTGATGGTAAGTGACTACCACCACCCATGGACACCTGCAACCCATGAAGCACAAGTATATTGAGTCCCCCTTTTTTTTCTTTTCTGTGTGGAAATCCCTTTGGGTAGCACCCACCGGTGGCTATGTCGGAATAAAACCAATCGGGTACTCGGGTACCAGTAGCCAGGGAACCAGGTGTACCCCCTTTGGGTCCCCTAGTTATCGGAAAACAAGTTAAATGAAAGTTAAAGCAATACATGTGCCAAGAAGCAATGGCTGTCTTTTCTTAGATCAAATACTCTAAAGCTATAAAAAAATCCTCCTACTGTTATAATGAGTGATGAGTTAAAATGAGACACCCCTCAAGTATATACCATACACCATAACTATATGTTTAGTGGCTTAGGAAAATTTTAGCAAATTATTTATAGGCAGCTAAAGATGAAAGTAACTTTATTAACATAACGTGAATAAATAAATTATGTCAGACAGCAGTTACCAAATAAAAAGACATATACACGCAAAAAAATAGCATATTGGCATAGTTTTTTTTCTAATTGGATTCTTTTTTTAATTTTTCTGTTTTCTCTAAAAACGTTAAAACTATCTCACTGTTATATTTCATTAGCCATACGCTAATTTATTTAGACCTAATTTTTAAATGTTTTACAATTTCTTAAAAACAAGTTTTGTCTAGTATCGCAGTAAACATCGGTGTTACTCGAATACCAACGGGAAGATGATCGGATCTCATAAATTAGAATAACACTCACCTCGGGCTCACTGTCTCCGTTTTTGTTTTTATCAGTTTTAGTCTTCATCGCCTCCTGCGAACAACAGCGTCCACTTAAACCTTCACAACACACGGTAATCACCAATATACAGATATTTAACACAAGTAAATTATGCAGCACCGCATACCATAAACGAACTGACATGGCATAGTAGGTATAACAAGTTATAACGATGGAAGCGTAAAATGCCGACTACGTAAACTACCGTTTTTTCCTATGTCAAGATTCATAATTTATTTTATTATTTTTTTATCTGTTCTTAAACTCACCTTTTCCTTTTTTGGCATAATAAATGAAATAAATTAATAAATAAAGCTATAAATACAAGTTTTTGATAACATTTGCGTGGAGAGTTTACATTTTAGTTGTCAAACACAGCTTTCTGATTGGCTGCATTGGTCACATGACATCACTGACGTAGCAGGTAGTGATGGCAAGAATATCGATTAAACATTATTAGATAATTGTGTTAACAAGTCTTGTATTTTGAGATAGATAACTTAGTTTTGACCGCAGTAATATTCTTTCGTTACATACAAAATTATCATCATCGATTTCGAGTCGATCATCCTAAATAAATTCAAATTGAAAACAATTATGATCGTTCGTGAACCAGTTTTGTCTAATAACAACAAAATTATAGTTAACTTTTATACAAAATTACGTTTTCACATTTTTCTTTTCTTACTTGCTAAAAGCCGCTTCCAATTCAAATGATGAAATATGAAAAAAAGAAAGAGAAACCTTAGAATAATTCCTTTATGACTATTTTGCGGATTTATACATCGATGTTGGCATCCAGAGAAACGTTGCGAGACCAAGTCAAACTTTAGTATCGGCATTCGACAATCAAGTTACGAGAGTACCAACTTTATGCAAATCCCACAGTCCCGGACTTAGGGGGTTTCCCACCCATTTTTAGGGGTCGTCAAAATGATAATATAGTATGATTAAAAATAAAAAACTTGCTCCACGAAGCTACTGGCATACGGAAGCCTGGTTGACTCACCGTCGACTTGTAAGAAAAACGTGCCACACAGGCCCACACTACAAGTGAACTTATATATATGTGAGTTTTTTAAAGTCATTTATCTCAAACGCTGGAAAATGGCGCCACTTTTAAATTTCTTCCCCAGTTTGAAAACATCGTAGATCCGTAGATATTCCGGTCATAATAAAATATTCAGAGCTGGACCTAGCCCTTGATCAGGTTAGGGCCCCTTTGATTGGAGATAACAATTTGTTACCAAATCGTAGGCCTTAATAAATAAACATTGTATTGTAACTATCACCTGATAATAAGAATGTGTGGTGACTTCCACATACGGTGAAACAAAGAAACATACTACAGCGCCATCTAACGAAGACACAAAGAACTACGGAGTAACTGCTAATCCTGTATCGTGATATTAACAATTCTCTCGCCGATTAGCATATGTACAACTTCCCAACATCAACCTTTGGGCCGCGGCCCGCCAGGCATGATCACCTGTGGGGGAGCCATGCTTCGGCACCAATGGGCAGGCTCAACCGGAGTGATTCTACGGCCTCACAAAAGACCGGTGTTAAGAGATTCTTTCGTTGCTTTTCTCCGAGTGAGTGAGGTTATGGTACCTCCACCAAACCAAATACCAACTCCTTCTTACTCTAGGGGGAGGGACTCAAAGGGCGGCAACGCACTTGTCAACTTGCAGGTGTCTATGGGTAGTTTTTTTTATCGAAGAGAGGCCAAACGAACGGACGGGTCAACTGATGGAAAGTGACTACCGCCGCTCATGAACGCCTGCAACTCAGGAGTCACAAGCGCGTTGCCAGCCTTTGAGGAAGGAGTACGCTCTTTTCTTGTTGTATCAGTCCGGAAATACCACAGACGATAACTTGTAATACATTTAATCCTTTTTTCAATCACTCACTACTTTCCAACGCTTCAGGCCATTTCTATTTCGGAGCCTAATTAAATATATTTCTTTTTATTTATTAAAATTTTACAATATTTCAAATTAATGTGATATACTGTTGTTGTTTCATTACCATCAGGTGATTAGTTTGCTCATTTGCCTCCTTATGCCCTAAAAAAATTCAGTTCTTTATACAGCGCATAGATCTAATAGACTACTACACACACTATTTCCCGAAAGCACTCCTCTCTGGTGTATGATTCTGGTTATGCCGGAAGGCGTCGTGCACATCATGTCTGCCCCATCCCAACTTTCAGGACCACTTTGGCAACACGGCACCATAAGGTTCTGGGGTGTCATTTGTATAATGTCATAAATAAGTTCTGCAATATTTATCGCCTCTGTGGGTCTAAATGTAGGAGAATAGTAACTGAGTGGCTACTGAACAAATCTTACGATGATACAGAGAACCTACTTCGATTTTCAACGCTATAAAACCATACACCCATACAGACTCAATTCAAGACACTCACACACAGTCCAGAGACAAACATACACACACACGCGCGCACACACACACACACACACACACACACTAACACACACACACGCACATACACACACACAACGCGCGTGAGCGCGCACACATTCCAACATTTTTTGTGTTTGTGAAATATTTTAATTTATAATGCACTAATATTGTAACAACAAGTCACTAAGATAGTGTTTTGCTTGTTTTGTATATGTTTATGCGAGAGCCCTGGTTACCCATACTACAAGTTTAATCTTACCTTGGGTACCAGAGTTCAATGAAATAATGTGATGGTTATGACACCTAGAAACATGTTTACCTTGAATCAAATTTTTTTGGCAAATAAATTATTATTATTATTATTATTATCGAGTAGAAAGACACCACGAGCCGTTTATACCACGGTGCAAATCAGACACGGACGATTTCTGAAGACGTGGTTTGGGACCATGATGTATGTCGACGTTTATCTTTTTTGTACGTCTTCAATTTGCACCGTGGTGCGAACAATGGCAGTACTCTTTTTAACGTGGTATTTGGACCACAAGAATATTTTTTTTAATCTACACTTATTTTCGTACAATCAATTAGAAAACGTTAATGAAATCAAAAATTCATATAAAACTTTTAACATTATCTGGTTAGGACACAGATATATTATAACTATTTTTTTTGTAATGAATACATGGTCATCGACATTGTACCCATTATATTAGTGGAAGTAAGATAAGGGAATAAAATCATTCTAAACAAATTTGCTACACTTTATTTAAAATTTTTATTTGTTTATGAGATAAAAAATTAATAGGATTATTTCTCAATCAAATCTCCAACATAACTTAATCTACTTAATCTTTTTAGATTTTCTTCTTCTTTGACACAAATAAGCTAGGCACGTTATTAAATAGAAATATCAACCTTAAATCAAAGTCGTAGTTAATAAACAAATAATAAGGTATTATTCTTAACTAAATTCTCATTTTTCTGTTTAATACTCAATAAACTTAATCTCTTTAAAGTTTCTTCTTCTTTGAAAGAAATAAGCCAGGCACGTCATTAAATAGAAATATCAACCTTAAATCAAAGTCGTAGTAAATAAATAAATAATAAGGTATTATTCTTAACTAAATTCTCATTTTTTCTGTGTTTAATACTTAATAAACTTAATCTCTTTAAGCTTTCTTCTTCTTTGACACAAATAAGCTAGGCACGTTATTAAATACAAATATCAACCTTAAATCAAAGTCGTAGTAAATAAACAAATAATAAGGTATTATTCTTAACTAAATTCTCATTTTTTCTGTGTTTAATACTTAATAAACTTAATCTCTTTAAACTTTCTTCTTCTTTGAAACAAATAAGCTAGGCACGTTATTAAATAGAAATATCAACCTTAAATCAAAGTTGTAGTCATCAACAGCCTTTAATAGTCCACTGCTGGACATAAGCCTCAAATCGTAGCGCCAAAGTTGTAGTAAATAAACAAATATTAAGGTATTTTTCTTAACTAAATTATCATTTTTTCTGTGTTTAATACTTAATAAACTTAATCTCTTTAAACTTTCTTCTTCTTTGAAACCTTATAAAATAGAAATACCCACCTAAAATGAAAGTCAGAGTAAATCAATAAATAATTAGGTATTATTCTTAACTAAATTCTTATTTTTTTCTGTTTTTTCTTTTTTTCTTTTTTGACTGCATAAGGTCCAAGGTGTAGTCGCACAAGCAAGCCACGCCACCAAGCTTGTATAATATACGCTGCATTCGTCATCTTCTCATTATAAAGGCGAACTATTTCTCTATCTTCTTTAAATTTAATCCAATTTTTCATTGTAGCATCCCGTTTCTCGAGCTATTAAAAATTAAATTCGCATTATTGAATTATTAAAAGTTATTGTTCTACTAGTACTATAACTAGTTATGTACTACTACTACTGCTGTACTACTACTACTATAACTAGTTATTGTTTTTTAAAAATTAATATCATAATTAACATTCAATTACAAATTAAAACCTAAAATAAAATATTAAAACCTAACTGTTAAATGTGATTACGAGTAACAATTTATGAATCGATAAATTGATAATAGCGACCGCCATTTTGTCAGATCGCAAACTGTCATTGTAATGATGGTGGCCCATCACATCAGTTTCAGTTAATAATTAATTATTAAATTCAAAAGAAAATATAACTAATAGAAAAATATTTTAATTTTAATATACTTAAGTGACGAGGCCACTGTGATAAAGAAACTCATAATGAGTGGTATGAAGTTTACGACGGCTAAGGATTAAATCTTCTAAGTAATTTTTAATTGAAATTTTGTTTCATCTGATGATCTTTGAATAGATGATCCCTAGGTATTCTTTTTACATAATTGCCTATAATATTCATATGTCTAGTTATTGCAAAGAACCCTCATCACTTTTTCTACTAACCATTTGTTCCATATCCATTTTTTTGTTACACATATCATAATATTTATTCTTTCGTATTTGTATCTGCAGTTCAATATTTTCTAAATCTTTGTCATATTTATCCATGATTACTTCAATCTGAGATAAAATTTCCTAAAAACATAAAAAGCTTCAAAATGGCTAAGGTATTAACTTGTTTTAATTACGATCGGATATAATGCCTACTTAACACACTTGCCGAGGCTTGGTAAACGTCCACAAGCTCCAAGCCTTTACAAACTTTTGGATGCCATTTACAAGCTTGCGAGTAAACTTGCTTGGCAAACTCTGTTTGCCTGTTCGCATACTATGTTCCGAACAGGCAAACAGAGTAGACATTGAAGTTGTATCGGCTATTGCGTTTGGCTTGACATATTTTTATTCAAAATATAAACAGAGACATGCCAACATGTAAATAGGTCGTAAGCGCTTGCCGCAAGCTTCATTTGATCTGTGTTGAAAAACCGACACTAGCCCGGATCAGCGACAAGCTCACGCAAGCCAAGCCAAACACCCCGTTTATACGCTTGTGTTTGAGGACATTTGTCGAGACTTGCCAAGCGTGTTTAATTGTAGTACAGTATACACAGATTTAACAATAAATTCACAAAAGTTTTTTAATTCAGCCAGGTTGATTGCCCACGGCCTGTCCAATCGGAAAGAGTTAATGTCAGAATATAATTATTTATCATAAAACACAAACATTTCAAGGGTAACAGAAATATGTTTCGTAGAATGCGAAGGCTTTAAAGTAGGCACAGCAAACGGTTCGATGTTAACAGTTAGTAGAGCAAACCGCTAAGGGTGAGACATTTATTGACTGCCTCGGTGGTGCAGTGGTAGCGTATGCGACTGCTGTGCTGAAGTCTATAGTACGATTCTCGAGGCGGACCAAATGTTTGTGTGAGCTGCAAATATTTGTTAGCAGCAGCAGAGCAGCAGTGCTTAGTTTGAAACTAGATGGCGTTATGTGTCAGATGTCCAAAAATATTATTATTTATTAGAATCAGATCTCAGTCATCGCAATCTGGTCGAAATGCCAGGCAATTTAAACGTAATACTATTAGGTATCATAGAACACAAAAGCTTAAAAGTTAGCAGGTACAGTAAACCCTACGGGTTGGACGTTAAAATCAGCCAATGATGATGAATGATGATACAATGTACGTTTGCAACCTGGTCGAAAGGCTAGTTATAGCTAACTAGGCCAATTCAAAGAAAACATATATTTTTATGAACGTGATCATAAAAAGCGAATACTAACGGTGATTTGAATCGTAGTTAGCCGTAAAATCTCACAATGCACTTGTTCTTCATGTTCGTATTTTTGCCTGAAGCGATTTATGCTTAAGCGAGGAATATTCTCTTTATTGGCAATTTTCAAACTGTGCTGTTCTGTTCGCGCTACTTGCCAGTTGTCGATATATCTACCTTTAACTTCAAACATTGGTTGAGCATCCTAAATAAATATAGCAAAGAACATGATTAAATGTCTTACCTTCTACATAGATAATAATAAGAATTAAAAAAAAAAATAGTAAAAAAAACGTAGAAAATGGCTGGTAGCGAATGGATGCGGATTGTCCAAGACCGGGATAGGTGGCGCTCCTCGGGGGAGTCAAGCAGTAGACGGCAATAGGCTAATGATCATGATTGTGTTTGGTCAAATAATATATCTGTATACATTATACCTCTAGTAGTATTGTGAAACCTTGCTTCTGTCTCTCTGTCAAGACATATTTTCTACAGACTGCGTGAAAATATAATGAAATTAACATCAATTTCAATTTCAGTTTTGTGTAAATAAATAGCAATGATAAGTAATGATAACATGAAAAGCTTTAACGTAAATTGAAAGAGTTGCAAAAGGTAATGAATTCAATATTTATATTATCACAGCGGGCAAAGACAGAAAAAAAATACACATTGTAAATAAATATTGTATTCTACCACATAAATGATAGTACTTTTATACTGATAATTAAAGCAATTCGTGCAAAATTATTCCCTAACCATTCCAAAATATCAAAAATGCACAACGTTAATATTCAAGTTTTCACTTCTGCCGGCACTCCCGGAGTGCAACCCGTCGTTTTTGAAGTGAAAACTTCTTTAGCGGCGTTGTACACTTTTTTTTATTTAAAGAACTATATTTCTACAAAATAGCATGGAACAGAACCACGTAGAAAACTGAGGCCGGTGAAATCTTGAAGCACTTTAAGATTGGCTTGCCACAGACATTGAGTTAGTAAACAGTAGATCTAGGTACCTACAACTTGTGGAGATAGTTATATGCCAATAGCAGCCAATAGCAATAATTACATTAAGCAGGTAATTAATTAATTATTATTGTTATTATTAGTTAATTTTATATACATACTGCTTTTACAGGTTTGCAAAGTTAAAATACGAAAAAAAGTCTTACATCGATGGTTCTTTCCAGGTTTTCGACAGCGCCGTTAATATCATGTAATTGCACTTTGAAATGGCAGCGTTGTAATCTTAGTTGCTTGGCAAGGTTTTTACGAATTCTTGAAAAGAGATTTTTTACTTAATATTTTTTGACTGGTTTTTGTCAACTTTGGGATTATTATACGAGTATTATATCAATGACAAGATTTCTTATGTATTTTTTCTACCACAAACAACGATTATCTATCAACAAAGTTAAGACGCGGAAACGTAATAAGAATGAATGTCCATTTGCATTAATGTTATGTTAAATATTAGCTTTTGGCAGGAACTTGGTCCGCGTGGCGTGGTGGTCGACATCAGACATCGTAGAGGATACACTACTACCCAAAAATAACGAAGTTTCAAATAAATTTCTAACCCCCATTCTGCACCCTTATGGATGGAATTTTTAAAAATTCTTTCTTAGTGTACACCGAGGTCACCTAAGGAACATTTGTGCAAAATTTCATGCTCCTAGACCCAGCGATTTCAGCTGCGCGTTGATCCATGTCAGTAGTATAATTATGTATAATAAGTCAAAATATTTATAATTTTTAACCTCGCACAGTTCTTACTCTTCTTTTATACTCATTAACTGAGATTTTCAAAAAAGAGTTTTATCTAAGTCCTGGGACAGCTATGCTTCGGTGAATATGAAAACCACTGTTAAGTAATTCCTGCCTTGCTTGTCACTGAGTGAATGGGAATACCGGAGGCCTTATTCCCCCCTCCCCTTTTCCTAAATTCTGTGGGAGAGGCATTCAAAGGATGGGAAAATATTTGAGACTCAGGGGACCTTGGGCTCACAATCAGGTTACCGGTCTGTTCGTTTGGCGATTATTTAATAAAAAATTAGCTCATTTGAACATAAATAGCATGACACGCCATTAGTTTTGCTTCTAACTCTTACAAGTTACAAGAAATTTCAAAAGGTTTTTACTCACATTTTATTTCTTTCCTTATCTTTAACTAAATCACAGCGATCATTTTCATTTTGAACGAATCTGTGGACACTTTCCTTCAAATACGAGAAAGTACTTTGTTCTCTGAGTTCCCAATACGTGTTTTGTATCACGTCATATACGTATTCCCTGGTAGGTACATGAAAGAAAAAATATAAAATGTATTTAGATTAAAGAGTTTTTAATACCTTTTTCAGTACCCACAATATTACCTACCTAAATTAGACATAACACAAGCCGTATTGTTGAACTACGCAACTAGGCTGAGACTAAGCTAAGAATTTTGAATTTTGAATTATCTTTTCGAAGATTTATTTATTCAAATATTTTTACATAACTAATATACGAGAGATTCTGTGAATATATGCGCATAAATGGATATAATATATCAATTAGTAATACAATTGGTCATTAAGTTTACCTGTCCGCATCAAGTTTTGCATACAACAGGGTACTTTCAGAGATCTTTTCTTTAAGCTCCACTAGTTCATCCAATGAGTCTGGTAAATTTATGTCACGGATATCTGTTTGTATTTTATTGTTGTATCCCTCTGGTATATAATATAATAAAACAATTATTACTTAATTATGCTAATTTATTGCTCTCTCAATAATTTATTTCAGCTTTTGCCCACGCCTCCGCCCACGTGTATGTCTTAGCCTTTGTTACTCGCTGATAAAATAGATTTCAAATAGTTAAAGAACTTTTAAAATCGGTTGAGTGGCTTGGGCGTGAAAGCGTAACAAAGAAACAAACTTAGTTTCACATTTATTATATAAGTATAGAAGTATGGATAACCAAATATATTTTTTAACATAATTTATTTCTAGTTTAGTAAATATATATTTTTAAATGATTTTTACGTACTTAAACATTGCAATTGTAATTTTATATCTTCTAATACAACACAAAGCATGCCACGTAAAATGAGCGAACTGTAACAAAAATGTCAACTCAATAAATAAATTAAAAATGAATAAATGTAAATAAAATATCAACGTTACCTTTCACCGAATATTCCACTAAACTCGGATTCATGATCCTCTTCGGTTATGTCAGATAGGGATAAGTGATATTCATGCTGTCTTATCAATTCCCACGAGTTGATAGTCTAGAATGAAAATAAAATAATGCTGAAAAATTTGTTTGGTTAAACGCGCTTATCTCAGGAACTACTGGTTCAAATTGAAAACTTATTTTAGTGTTGGATAGTCCTTTTATCTAAGAAGGCTATAGGCTATAATATAACATCAGGCTATAATAATAATAACTTCACAAATCTCACATACGGCCGTCTGATCACAAACAAACTCGGCAGAGCCTGTTCTATTTATATTTACAAATACGTACATAATGTGGATAAATTACACCCAAACACAGAACAACTGATCGTGCTCATCACATAATTATGTGTCATGGGTGGAAATCGAAACTACGACCCCCGGCTTAGTAGTCAGGGTCACCAATCAAGCTACCACCAATAGGAACTGAGCATCATTTAAAAATGTCGCAAAGTAGCGCGGGTAAGTTACTAATTAATACATTATCTTTACAAATAAAAATTAAGTAATTGCCGAAATGTATGTACGCACATAACTGCCGAACGACTGCACCATGTTGGATTATTCATTTTTTTTGTGTTCGGTATTGTCAGGACACGGTTTGTATAAAAGAAAATTTGAAAAAAAAAGCAGTTTTTTTTTAAATCTTAATATGGAAAGTGAGTGAGTGAATGGGACAGAAGATTGTGAGAGATCTAATAATATTCATCATCATCGCTTAGGGTTTGTGTCAAGTTTCTTTCTCGGTGCAGTGCTGTTGTCCTGCATAGTTTGCTCCCTTAATCAGCTCTTACGACGATCGCGGAATGAATACTAATATTACAAAGAGGTAAAGTTTGCGAGTTCGTATGTTCTGGGTAATCTCAGGAACTACGGTTTGAATTGAAAAATTCTTTTAGTGTTGGAAAGGGCTCTTTTATCTAGGAAGGCTATAGGCTATGTAACATTACGTTACGACCAATAGGAACCAAATTTATTCCTTTTACGAGACGCAGACAATGTTCCGCGGGTCAACTGGTAGAAAATATTATTCAACGAGTACTGACTAAAATGAATCTTGGGACAATTGTGGTGAAACCACGTCTAGTGATTCCCGCCACCCCTGTCTAGACAACTTACAGATTTCCTTCTGTCTTATGTGAAAATCGCAGAGTCCCAGACATCTTAGTGATCACTTCAGCTTATTGTTTGTCTTTCCGAGTAATTTGTCAGTGTCAGGTCCCTATTTACCAGCAGCCCATTCTAAACTATATCCTATCTCTAAACGTGTACCTCTGCTTCTCTAAATTACGGACCAGTACTAATCAAATATTTGAATATAAAAGTACTGTTTTCAAGTTAAGACTGTACTCCAGTTTAAGTTTAATAAATTTGCCAAAACCCAAATCTAGTGATAACTAACAACAACCAAAATAACATTAACTTTAATTTTACAAACGACCGACTACGTCGGGAACTAAAGATAAAAACTATAAAGAGGGAAGTAACAGACTCGATGCAAATTTATAAGAAGCGTGTTCAAAACCACACAAACCAACTTGCAAAGGATTCCTAGCGAGGTGGTTTTAATTTATGGCATTAGAGTTAATGAAAGAGAAACTTGGCACAACTTTAAAAAAGATTAAGGAGATGAGCGCCACAAGATTTAATGGACACATAGATACCTCATTTCATTATAGTTGTGAACTCACTGGATTTGCTCCAAACACATCCTTGTACAAATACTTAAAATCCTTGTACAAATAATTAAAAAAAAAAAATGGTTGTGTAAAATATTTGATAAAATTCTTCTTTATTATAATCACCTAAAGGAATACGCTTTAATAATTTTGGTTATATCTTTCTATAATAAAGACCGTTTCAGAAAACTAACGGTTTTTGGCGTATTTGGACACTATATTATGTACTTTTAAACGCTCTTGCCTTTACTGAGTCAGGTGATTTGGTATTTAGATTTATTTTGTATTGATTAGTATTGTTTAGACCACATACAAATTTTAACAATATATATTTTACACGTATAACCAAACTGCTGATAAATATATGTACTTATATATTCAGCAAAATATACATCTTATAGAAAAATTACAACAAAATGATCGTGCTCATTGCATAATTATTTGTCCTGGTTTAGAATCGAATCTAAAGACTTAACCTCACGAAAAATAAAACTTGAATGCAAAAAAAAACTAGGCTATAAGGTCGAAAGATTGTATGTTTTTAATACTAAATATTTCTAAGTTATCGTGGAGGTAGTAGACGATTCATCCACTGCCTTAACGATAATAACAACTCATAGTTCAGTTCTGTTACACAAAAAGAGTATACAAAATGAGCTGAGTTAATGAAGTTAAGGGACTTCATGATTTGTGTGAACTTCTTTACTACCTCTTTACTAGCCTTAGGTATTTAAAGCATGATCAGAATTTTGGTAAATCAATGGATGGCAAGCTACTATTAATGTGCTATTTGACCATAAAGGAAAATATTTTTTTTATATTCCACTATTTATAAACCATTTTCCTATTAGTAATCAAATTCAGCCGAAATAATGATTACCTATAGATGACTGACTGCACGGATGGCGTAGTTAAGCGGTCTGGGTGTTCTTTGTGTCCGTTTCATGTACGAGTATGTTTGTAAAGTTCTAAGCGACACAAGATATATGTTGTCTTTAAAAAATAAATAGATACCTTACTACAGTCCATTCTTATTGTACCCGGTAGATTATTTCCTAGAACATAGTAGGTATTCTGATGCTCATATTTTGGTTTACTTAGCTCCTACCGTTTACCTACATCTACATATTACTGAATAATTTTGGTTTTGAAATTAATAACATATTTGACATTAAAATTACTTATTTTTATAAAAAAAGTACTAATATTGACATACAGATACTTTTACGTCATAACGTTTGACTTTTTCATTCATAGGAAGCAAAAGAACCTTTACAATTAAATTCTATATCACGTTGGAGTATTTCCCTGTTTTTATTTTTAAGTAGGTAGAAGTTAAATGGGATTCGTATTTAAATCAAAGAATAAAATCGTCACGAATTAAAACTTAGAATATGTGGTAGAAGTACTCGTATTTAACTGAATAAAATCGATTGTCTGATAAATCGACTATGAAATTGAAGATGCACGCACCAAAGTATTTTTTGTGCACAAATATATGGTGGAGGTTGCCTCATGGAGTGTTAAGAGTTGCATTGGTTAGTGAACGTGTGAGGCAAGGTCCTTAAGTGGCAAGGCACTGGAGGAAGATACTATCGCCCCTCGCCACGTTCCAACTGCATTCCACTCGGTATTTAAGCATATAAAATAAATAAATGGTAGTTACTACTCTGAATATACCTATGCGCGTATGTGTATTTTATTCTAAATTAAATTTATTCTTCAATAGTTATGTCTCAGTTCTTATAAAAGTCTGTCCGTAGCATATAAAGCCTGATATTTTGGTGATAGATCGATGATCCGATAATGCCTTGGTACTGACTGTAATTTTAAGACACAAAAAATAAAATATTTTATTTATTTTATTTATTCTTTATTGTACACACTGAACACATACATATATATAAGTAACAAGGAAATGTCATGTACAAAGGCGAGCTTAACCCAAAACTGAGTTTTCTTCCAGCAAACCTTGAGCGAATAGAGGACAACAGAGAAACGTAAGGGCACAGTCATGCGTACGTAGGAATCAACACAGAAAAGCATAAAAATTAAATAAATACCGACATAAATTAGGATAGCAAAATATATTATACGTTTACAAACATATACATATATATATAATATATATATATATATATATATATATATATATATATATATATATATATATATATATATATATATATATATATATATATACACACATACATACATACCAAGGGTCTGATTATTGAAGGGACAGATAAGGCAGATAAGGGCATTCCATAGTCGAACAGCTGCAACGCTAAAAGAGTTGTCATAACGACTCGAAGTGTGGGAGGGAGTTCGAAGGAGGAGAGAAGAAGAAGAGCGACAAAGATTGTTCCTGGGAATAAAGTGCTCGAAGCGCTCACGGAGATATGAAGGACAAGTGTGGTTGTATAAAGTTGAATAGAGTAAGGAAAGAATATGGAGATCTCGACGGTCTCTAGGTAACCAATTTAGCTGTTTCCGAAATTCCGAAACATGATCGAACTTTTTAAGACCAAATATGAAGCGGATACAGAGATTTTGTAACCGTTCTAGCTTACCCCAGAGTTCTTCGGTAGCGTCGAGAAAAGAAACATCAGCATAGTCAAGAAGGGGAAGAAGCAGGGATTGAGAGAGAAGGACTTTAGTCTGAAAAGGAAGAAAATTTTGAAGACGTTTGAGAGAGTGATATGTTCCAAAAACCCTTTTACTCACCTCTGTAATGTGTGTGGTCCATGACATGTTCCAGTCCATAAAAACCCCGAGATTTTTTACTTGTGTCGAATATGGTATAACAGTCTTGTTATAGGACACTGGAGGAAGTGAAGTGTGATCAAGGCTATTATACATGTACCTGCCACCAATAATGATAGCTTGAGATTTAGCGGGATTGACAAGCAGCCTGAACGATTTTGCCCATGTACATATGTTTTGCAGATCATTATTGATGGCAGTGACGGCTTCTGTGATTTCATCAACCTTGAAATGGCGGTATAGCTGCAAATCGTCTGCATAAAGATGATAACGAGAAGAAATAACTTTGGTGATTTCATTAATGAAAATGGAGAAGAGTAGAGGAGATAGTACGCCACCCTGGGGCACGCCTGCAATAAGGTCACACCAGTCTGAAGATGACTCATCCGTGCGAACCAGTTGCGTGCGACCCCGAAGATAAGAATTGAACCAGGCGATTACAGAATCAGATACATTCAGAGACGATAGGGTGCCCAAGAGGATGTCAAAATCAACAGAGTTAAAGGCGCTGCTGAAGTCCAGTAGTACCAATACTGTCAGTTGTTTATTTTCCATAGCGAATCGTAAATCGTCTGTTATTTTAACTAAGGCGGTTACAGTACTATGGCCAGCACGGAAACCAGATTGGTATGGACTCAACAGGCTATTAAAGGAAAGAAAACTGTTCAGTTGACTCCGGACAATCCTCTCAAGCACTTTGGAAAGGATCGGGAGAATGGATATAGGTCGAAAATGAGATACTAAGGAAGGGTTAGCAGTTTTAGGTAAGGGGATAACATGGGCCTTCTTCCAGGATGACGGAAACACGTTTTCTTTGAGAGAGAAATTTATGATATGAGTGATAGCTGGAACGACGTCACTTACAATAGGCCGCAACATTTGTTGTTGAATGCCATCATCACCTATTGCTTTTGTGGAGATAGATAGGACATGTCTCTTAACGTCACAGCCTGTAACCGGTTCAAACGAAAATGAGGTACATTGAGGCAATGGAAGACCAGCTAGATAGCTAAGAGTAGATGCCTTGTCTGAAGTATCTACACAAGCCGGTGAAGTGGAAAAATGCCTATTCAGCACATTGAGATCAATAGTAGTTGAGTAATTAAAGTATTATTATAAGACGGAACAATATAGACGGAGATTAAATATAGTTGATAATTACAAATTATACAATTTATCAGACACTAGTTGTTGTCCAGGTCGTCGCTTGCGTTTTTGTCGATTTTGTTAATTTATTTTTTGGGACAAAAGTAGCCTATGTATATGTATCAGGAGATCATCTGCTCGTTACCCTCTGCTCTCTGTCATGTATGTAGAAGTGTATTATCTAATCATCATGACATCAACAGACTTTAATAGTCCACTGCACAACTGGACATAGGCCTCTCTTTAGAAAAGAGTGTTTGTCCTACTATACCACGCTGGCCAGGCGGATTGGTATAGGCGATGTTTCAAGTTTTCCTTCTCTTTGCAGTGCAGTTTTACTGCGTAGTTTGCTCTCTTAGTTGGCTCTTATCGTAGGGGAGCCCTAGAGACCTCCGTCCTCCATAAGCGCAGGCCTGGGGGTGACAGGTGAGGCCATCTGTCAACCTAGCAGAAGCAGGCCGGGGTGGCGGCGAGCGCGCTCGCTTCCAGGGAGCACAGGGAACATAGGGTTCTCACACGGGGGGGTCGTCTACTCGTCTGTAGATGACCCGAGGTATGTTGGTGCACCAGGGACTTCCTTTCTAGGGTATACCTGATTCCCCGGCTATTAGAACCCGAGACGGCGTGCGGTTTTAGTCGGTTCGAGTCCGACATGCCACCGACAGGTGGTATCCGAGGGGATTTCCGCACGGAAAAAAAAAGGGGAGCCCTAGAATCACATACATAAGGAGGAATACCTTACACCTAGTTGAGTACTTCCACCACGAGCTCTACATATAAGGGGGAGCGTCTAGGGCAGCCCTTCAGATTAGTTATAAAAAGAATCGATGGTCAGAAATACTCGAGCGTGTAAGATTAAGGTATGTTAGGTTAATTACATACACATTAGCGTGTATTTTTAAGTCACAAAGTAGCAAAAAAAAAACAATGACCTTGTTTTTTTTAAACAAACAATACAAGAAATCTTCTGCATTATTTTTCGTGCCTTTATTTGTCATATTTTCTAAAAGAAAACAAATAATTAAAATATTTCTAACCGTCAGATTTAAAATACCTTGCTAAATTATCGTCAGATTTTTAGCTATCGTGACTGAAACATCAAGTTGAACTGTCTGTATAAAATCTAATACGCTCGGGTATATCTAAAAGGCCTATTTTCGAATTTGCAGTTTGCATTTTCGAAAAATCGCTACGGGGTTGTGTCACTTTACTAGTAAAATCGTCATGCCTTTCAATGGCATTTATGGCATCCAAATAACATTACTCTGAAATATCTAATGCGCCCGATTTTTTTTTTCGATTTTCTCCCCTGTAGAACCTGCAGCAGCTTTTGCCACCACTGAAAGTGGAAACATGATATATCTTTTATTTATCTATTACCTAATCTTTTAAATTTAGCATCATGGGCTCCCCTACTATTGAGATACCCAAGTGATGAATAGGGGGTGATAGTCCCGTATTCTTAATCCATCACCACACGGACCAAATGTAGTATACAATTATCTTGTGTAAGCGAGCATGACCTAACATGCCATGATGCCCGCAAATAAGGTGTTAAACTGGAAAACTTAGTCTACAATGAAACACAAATGTTAGTCTATTTTATTTAATACGTATACAATAGTCAGATTTTATATAATATTATACGAAATAAGAAACAGAACTATCTAAATTCACATTTTGCCAAGACACAGGGCAGACTTGTTTCTGTTTGTTACGTACAGTTTCTGGAAAATACTATCCTGGAAAGTATTGCACCTAGACGGATTGTCCGTCTCCTGGCATGTTAATTCTCGTATGCTAATTAATGTTAAAGATATACTCAAAAAATATACAACGCCCTCCGTATTCAATACAACAATGCGTGGTAAACACCCTAAGGTATTGTTGGGGCTATCCTGCTTCTGATGATAGCAGAGGCGCGAGTGGACTACTGATATATCGTACATTGTCTCTACTAACATAAGTTTCATGTATTACTAACAATCTATGAATCATGGTTACTTTAATAAAATGATATTACTATTGTTTTTATTATATAGTAATTCATAGAGTCAATTTGTCATCCAGCAAAAAATATATCAATTCAAAAGAAAGAGATAAATAGTTAACCACTGCGAATTAGAATTGTAAAGTTATTAACTACTAAACTAAATTATCCTAAAACAATATGAAAGCTATCCTAAAATAATAGAACTTACTAAAAACCTACTTAAGGACTACGGAGTAATAAAAAAATAATACCTACCTCAATTGTTTAGAAAAAGTCTGAATTGCAGTAACTGTTGAATGTAAGCTAAGCAGATAGATCTTTAATGGTGAAAGCATTACAAAACTGAGAATAACTGTAGTGAAATTTTTGTCATATAATAAAATACAGTCAGCTGATAAACGGAGGCACATATCACTTTACAAAAACTCATAGTTTAATATAGTCATAGTTTAATATTTATCGAATTTTATTATTGTATATTATTAAGGAATCTCCAAACCAACAAAGCGGTTTTACAAAATAGCGAGATTGAGGACATTCAAACAGATACAGATGCATAATACTGAAACTATATGGGTTTGTTAACTACAGAACATGATCAACGTACATCGGGTCTAAAAAATCCTGATTCAGCTAACCTTAATGAAAACCGCTGGTCTAAATGTTTTAAGCAAATGTCTAGGTAAATAATGCTACTACCGTATTCTCGAATATTCAAACTGAGTCTTGTAGTTCGTCTTCAAGGACATGGTTACCATAATGTTATTTTTTCTTTTTGCCTTTCTTCTTCGATTGTTTATAAGGTCCAAGTTCAAGTCTTACGAGAAGACCACGCCACCAAGCTTGTACTGCAATTGCAGCTGTGTTCATCTTCAGACGATATAGTCTTTCTATTTCGCGATCCGTAGTGAACTTGACCCAATCTCTCATTTCAATTTCGTGCTTCTCGTACTGGTGGGAAAAAATACTTCAGTATCGAGAAAGATTTATGATACAGATTATGATGTCATTTCATTTTATTTATTCTTTATCGTACACACTAGACACATATATTTATATAAGTAAGAAGAAATGCCATGTTAACCCAGGCGAGCTTAACCCAAAACCGAGTTTTCTTCCAGAAGGCATTAAGTGAATGGAGGATAGCAGAGAAACGTAAGGGCACTATACATGCGTATGATTTATATATTTTAGCAGTTAAAACCAGTCATCTAGACAACTGTCAAAGCGTTGAGTGTTGTAAGTTTCGCATGGGACAATTATTTAAGTAAATCATCATCAATAAATTAAATAAAAATCAACAGGACAGTTGAACTTGAACATTTCTATTGATATCAAAAAGAACTGAAGTTCATAAATTCCGCACATGCAAACGGTTAAAAAGTTATACCACCGATGTGTCTTCTAGTGCTCTAACGCTGAAAATTATTTTATGTCTGTTGAAGCTGCCTTAGTGACCAGATCCAGCAACCTATTTTTGGCTAACATTAGACTGTTGTCAAAATACGAAAATTATTTTTAATTATCTACATGAACCATGAGTAATTCTGATCGGTATAAACTCTTTGGTAGAATAATAAGAACTTCAGCAATCTAACCAATTCCTCCATCTCTGTCCTCGTAACGGTTTGACTATTGTAATCGTTCTTCATCAACTGAATCTTCAAGTCTATGCTCTCCATGTCTTTGTCATATTTGTTCATCCACGCCTCTACTTCTGCCAAAGTTTCCTGGAAAATATATTCAGTGAAAAGCTTTCCTTATTATTTATTCAAAAGAAATATTTGTACGGCATTCAACTTTCCAACTTCGTTCCACGCGGCAAAATTTCCATTAATATCACATCGTTTGAAACTTGGAAGTGATAGGGATGTAAATTTTGCCACTTCAAATCTGTGCGCTTTTCATAACACCTTTTCCTTGCACATCCAATCTGTGTGTGTGTGTGTGTGGAACGAAATATCCTCTGCGATATTGCCGATACGATTTTCAAACCTTCAAGAAAAGAGCGCACTCCTTCCTCAAAGACCGACAGCGCGATTGTGACTCCTAAGTTGCAGGCGTTCAACGGCGACGCTAGTCGCTTTCCATGAGGTAAGCCGTCTGTTCGTTTTGCTAACTCTATCATAAAATAAAAGAATTTATAGATGGAAAAGTAAAATATATTTACAGGTTTACTTGACCTAAGTATGTTAACCACTACATATTACAAAATACAGCCCCGGTCGGTCTTTCTGTTCGTCTGTCTAAACGCGGTCAACTATAAAGTTTTGAATGGATTTTACACAGTTTTCAATTATCGATAAAGTGATTGGGGAGTGACAAAGTAGGAGAAGGGCACAGATGCATAATTCGTGTCATTTTATAGAAGTTTGATTTTATTTGAAATTTAAATGGGACCATTTCGAAATAAACCTCTTACGAACAAAAAAAGAATTTGAAAAATCCGTCTGCACCTGACGGAGTTATGCCCGGACACACATATACACATCACACACAAAAATATAAACATCCGAATTCTTCCTCTCCTTCTTAAAAAGACAACTCCCGCACTAGGAATAAATCCTGTGCGTGTGTGACTTTACAAACATACATGAAACGGACACAAAGAAAACCCAAATTTAGAACAACAATTTGTAGATCACACAAAGTGTCGTCCCATGTGGGGATCGGACCTACAACACTCGGCGCACTAGTAAACGGCGGCGAGGCGACCGCTTAAACCATTACGCCATCCGTGCAGTCGAATTGATAACCTCCACCTTTTTGAAGTCGGTTAAAAATACTCCTGCGAAGCCGGCCACGTTGTAGTTGGTGTATTTTATAAGTCTAACCCCTTTATTTACCTTGTCAAGAGTTTCTATTACTAGCTTTTGAGTGTATGTCTGTAATCGCGGTAATAAGTAGCCTATGTTACTCGCTGAAAACAATTTTTAAAATCGGTTCGGTGGTTTAGGCGTGATAGCGTAACAAACAAGCACACTCACTTTCACATCTATCTATGTTCTATATTAATTAATTCAAAAATAAAATTGAAGTGTCTGTTTGTAATGTCAAAATAATAGGTTTTTTTCATGCTTTCATGGTTATTTGCACGATACCTACGCTTAAAAACCTAGTATATTATATTTTTGGTCTGTCTGTCTGTTTGTTTTGGGCAAGCTTCAAAACGGCTGGACCGATTTGGATAATATTTACTACCAGATAGCTGTCTATATAATGAGTAATTTAGGCTATTTTTTTCTACAGAAACACCCTATAAAATTTTGCTCGGTCCGGGAATCGCACCCAAAGCCTCATGGACTGCAGTGGCGTGCTGTAGGTACTTCACCACTAAGGCAGCGCTTTTCACATACATCACACGCTAGTAAACTTTGTATAGAGCCAAGTTTACGTTACTCATAGTAAATTTACAAGAGGACATAACTTACGAGAAGACGAGCTAAAACTTTGTGCAATACCTTTCTTTTTCTTCAATGACAGGCAGCAGATAATTTCAAAAGAAAAAAAAACACTTTGTTTCGTGTTTATCTAACCTAAGTTTTTAATGCAATAATAATAATAAAACGCTCTATGGACCCCCGGTCAGTACGAAGTTGCTTTCGCTTTTTGGTAGACGTTTGCTATATACTCGAAAAAGATGTCAGCGTCGACGCGCTAAGTGAAGTGTCGGCATAAAAGTCTTGTTACACATTTTTCGGTCTCACTCCCATCCGCTCAGAGCGTGTAATGCGCGAAAAGGAACTTCGTTTCAATAACTTCACACATCTCACACACGGCTGTCTGATTCCATACTAGGCAGAGCCTGTACTATGATACCCAGACTGCTGATAAACGTACTTATACAGAACATACGTATTATAATTAATTTACACCCAGAAATAGAAAAAATGGTAGTGCTCATCACACAATTATTTGTCCTGGGTGGGAATCGAACCCATTACCTCTTGTTTAGCAGTCAGGGTCAATAACTACTAGACCAACAGGCCCGTTAAATGAAGTGTAGAAAGTATAAAAAGTATTTAAAAATTACAGTAACGTGTGACAGTTTTAGGGATAGCAAAAAAAAACTAAATTAGCAATAAAATCATTTATTAAATTAAAATGCATTATAAAATTAGGTACATAATGTTAATTAAATAGCTAACAATTATTTGTTAATAATGTATATTAATTGGGTACACAAAAATGACTAAAACCACTTATAAAGATATTTATATATTATATTCACTATTAAAATAAATTATCCTAAAATAATATAAAAACTGTCTTAAAATTAAAAGAACATATAAAAACGGAGTTAATGTGCTCGGGCCAGGGAAGCAATACACACGGCCCAGTGCGGTAAAATTTAAATTACGTACCTATCTTGACAAAAAAAAACTATTGTCATGAAAATTGTTTCAGAACGGTTTCTAATTGCACAGATAAAAAAGTATATAATCGTATGTAGCCCGTATTATATGCCTTTAGAGAACAGGGTTTCTCAACATTTAACAAGTTATTTCATGTTAAAGATCGGATCACCCGGTAGGTGCATTTTTCTTCACTACAGATATTTACAAAATAAAAGGAGAACATATTCTTTTATTAAACTGACCACATAAATATCTTGGTTTCTCAGTTAATAACTACTTGTGTACAGGTATTTTAGTAAATCTACAGTGTTGTAATGTATATTTTTTGGGTTGACTATTCAGAATTCAAGTTATCTATATTGATTTCCATTTAACAATGGGAATAGTCGTGTTTGTTCTTTTTGTCGCATTACAGGTGAAAGTTCGTAAAGATTATATATTTTACGGATTTGCTAAAGAAACCCTGGTCTAGACGGATGCTAAAATCTATTTCTAGAACGGCTCATTACTAAGCGTTGACCAGTATCTCTTTATTAGAGACTATTTGCAGTTATTTCTTTTTCTTTTTGTCAGCCGGTTTGCCCTTCCTCTTGCTTGGCTTAAAAGGTCCAAGTTCGAGTCTAACAAGAAGACCACGCCACCAGGCCTGTACTACAATCGCAGCTGTGTTCATCTTAAGACGATATAGTCTTTCTATTTCGCGATCCGTAGTGAACTTGACCCAATCTTTCATTTCAATGTCATGCTTCTCATACTGGCGGTGGAAAAAATAATTTAGTATGGCGTTATACTACAGATTATGATTTCTATAATTAACTAGTCATCTAGTGTTGTGAGACTTGCTAAGAAAAAATATGTCTTAGGTTTGTAAACCATTCTTCTAATTGAAGGTGTATCGTAAAAAAATATAAAGAGGCTATATACCGTATAACGAAAGAAAAGTATAGAATAGTAAAGAATATAATGCTCGTGGTGATGATCTTACCAATTCTTCCATTTCTATTCTTTTTGCTATTTGACTATTGTAGTCGTTCTTCTTTAGTTGAATTTTTAAGTCTATACTCTCTATGTCTTTGTCATATTTGTTCATCCACTTCTCTACTTCTTCTAATGTTTCCTGGAAAGTATATTCGGTAAATACTTGATTTATAATTACAAAAGCTAAGCAATAAAATAATAGCTATGAAGTTGGAGATTTTTAAAACCAGCATTTTTAGATTTAATTATCTGAGGATTGACGCGCAGTTATAAATTCAAATAAATTTTATTCGAAAGCCAAGCCTTGTTACTTTAATTTAAAAATTCTGTCATTTGTTTTAGATTGTGTTTTGTTCTTGTTTTTGGCGCCATTGATAAACTGAAAATCCGTACAATTATTGAATATGAGTTAATACGTGAAAATACCGCTGTGCAAACAACATGAAACATTAACGACATGTACGGGCCTAACACTGATTCATTATTGGTTCAATCGTTTTAAATCTGGAAATTTCGAGTTGAAGAACGAGGGTCGCGCTCGGCCTGTAACTATAATCAACTACGACAAAATGAAGGCGATAGTGGAAGTGGATCCAACTCAATCTACGGCTGAGCTTTCTGCGGGCTTTGAAAGAAAAAAAGATAAAAAAAGCTAGATAAATGGGTGCCGCACTAAGCGACCATCAACGAGACTTACGCGTCGGGGCATGCATAGCACTACTGAATCGACATAGAAACGAGATAATTCTGAAAAGGGATAAACAAACTGCCATCAAAATTGCAAAATTGGATATATAATTTGGACCAGTACTTTACGAGTAAATAGCAAAACCAAAAAATAAGCAATTTTTATTTTTTAAAATTTTCAAACAAATCTCCAACTTCATACGTAAAGACCTAATATAATTGCATGTTTACTTGACCCTGCATGTCAATAACTTTTTTTTTACTTCACACATCTCACATACCTACACGGCCGTCTCATCCTAAATTAAACAGACCCTGTGTTATGGTAACCAGACTGCTGATAAACATACTTAAATCACAATAATAATAAATCCATACAGATTAAAGATTAATTATACCCAGACACAGAGCAAATGATCGTGCTCATCACACCATTATTTGTCCTGGGTGGGAATCGAATCCACGACCTCCAGCTTAACAGTTATAGTCACTAACCAGTAGACCAACAGGCCCGTCTTTCTGTCAGTCTGTCTGAAAGTTTGATTTACTCCAAAAGTTATTGAGGATAGTATTAAGTTGATAAGAATTTAGGTAAGAAACCAGCTAGTATCACTTTTCATTCGTAAAAGATGATAATAGCTGGCGTATAGAACTGAGCAGCTAGTTTTGAACTCATACCTCTACTGCTACTATTGCCAATAACTGCCTATATGAATCCATTCGCATTAAGAAAATGTAAGAAAAGTGACGCAATAATTATGCGTCGATCAAGCCCCGCCCCTGATCCATCAGGTTCCAAGCTTTCATACGAAACGATGGTTTAAGAACCTGATTGGTCAAGCATTGGGCTTGATCGGTGCGTCACTATTCTCTTAACGCAAATAGACTATAGAAGCTTGCCTGACATTGACCAACGACCGCGTAATACGGAAAGGTGAATTTAACTTACCCTAGGACTCGGCCTAATCTTTGAACCCGACACCAAAAACTCACAGGTAACTTATTAAAAAATTAACACAAGTTAAATAAAAAATAAATTAAAAACATGGAGTTAATTTACGGACATTTAATTTTATTTTTGCATAATTATGTTCGTACACGGGAATTAATGCCATCACGTTACACGTTTAAAAGTTAATAAGTTATTAAGTTAAGTATATTTCATAAGCACATTTTTTATTTTTGTATTTGCTGTCGTGGACCTTAACTACTGTTTAGTTGTTGAGGTGTAATGACATGGGTACGACGTAAAGTCCTATTGAATGCCAAACGGTTTGGCTGTTAAGTAGGTACCACTTATTAGATGGCTGAAAAATCGTCTTAAATGGTAATTGAGTTCACGAACTGGATAATACAGGCTTGGTCCTAGTCGGCGGAGCGGGACCGGGAGAGGTTTAGAACTCTCCCGGCCCGCCAGGCCCGGGCACGGGCCAGGCAGCGCAGGTCACTCAGGCGCCGGAGGTCGCAGAACGACCTCCGTCCTCCATAAGCGCAGGCCTGGGGGTGACAGGTGAGGCCATCTGTCACCCTAGCAGAAGCAGGCCGGGGTGGCGGCGAGCGCGTTGCGAAGCGCGCTCGCTTCCAGGGAGCACAGGGAACATGGGGTTCCCACACGGGGCGGGGGTCGTCTACTCGTCTGTAGATGACCCGAGGTATGTCGGGGCACCAGGGCCTTCCTTTCTAGGGTATACCTGGTTCCCCGGCTATTAGTACCCGGCGAAGGCGTGCGGTTTTAGTCGGTTCGTGTCGTGTAAAAAAAAAAAAAAAAAAAAAGGCTTGGTCCTAGTGTGTATTTACAATGCCAGTTGCCTCTTCTCGTGAATTAATTATAAAAATATCTTATTATGTAAGTACATGTAAATTATAAGTAGGCAGTTGGTGAAATATGGGCCTGCCTACCCCTTCGGGAATTAAAGCGTGAGTGTAAACGAGAACTATGCCTTCAAAACTAAAAAAAATTAAATTGATTCATAAATAACGGAGTTATTAGGCAACCAATATAAAAAAGGTCTACAACTCGATTGAGAACACCTTTTTAAAATCTGTTAAAAAATCATTTCATAGTTAAATAAAACTTTTCTGTTTCAAATTCTATAAATAAACACTTAATTTCACATTATAAAAAGAGTGACTTACGTTTATCCGTATATTAGTTAGTATCTCTATTTCCGAGTGCACGCGTGCCTCGTGGTCATGTCTTTGGCGGTAATACTTGATGATTTGGGATGGTCCTGCCTCTTTGTCGTCTATAGTCTGTGTATTCTGTTCAGTGCGGGCAACTTGCCAGTTGTCCATGTACCTGCTCCTAGCCTCTGAGACCAGTGTGGCATCCTACGGCATTAAAATGTTACCGAGATCACCGAATAAAATATCTAGGAAGTTATGCTACTGCCGCCAGATTTGAGAGAATAAAGAAGTTCATTCGCAGTGGGGAAAACAATGATTAAATAGTTCAAGCTTAGTTTTTTGTTCTGCTGTTTCTGTTTCATAATAACATAAAATACATCATAAAAGTAGACTTCAAACACGTATTGCCATTTAGCATTGTAGCAAGCTATCTAGTCCTCTTTTCGTGGGAGAGCCAGCCTTCGGCATATATGGGCCGAGGCTAGGCCGGAGTGCTATCATGGCCTCACAGAAAACAGGTGTTAAGCTATTCCCTTGTTACTTTTTCTCCCAGTTGAGGAAGAATAAAATTAGATACATCTTTTATTTTAAAAAATTATGAGCCTGATGCACTTACTTCCAGTTGACCCTTGAGAATCTCGATGGTCTGGTCAGTGTCGTAAGTGACAGATTTGATATGATTTCGCTGTTGTCGTACTTGTTTTAGCAATTCACGACGTTTCCTGTAAGGGATTTTCCAGGAAAATCAATAAAAGCAAGCAAGGAACGTTAAATTGTTGGCTGATTTAGAGTAAATTTCTCGGGAGGTGGGATTTAGTAAATTACATCTGATTGCCTCTAGATACCTACTATCGATTATACTACATTAACAATTACATGCGGGCGAGACTAATATAATCGTTATGAATAAAATAGTATTTTCACTGGTGATTATTTATTTATTTTACATCTTCATGCAATTAAGTAGGTACATCGGCGGACTTCATGCCCTAGGCATTCTCTATCATGGCTGATCTTATGGTGGTGTAGAAATCTTGTAAGTAGTTATTAGTAGTGATTAGTACGCAGCAAGCCTAATACTGCGCGTATTAGGCTTGCTAACTTAAACCTATATTCAATTTGAGCCACGGACTTACTGCACTTGGCTACTGATTGTGATCGAGCGAGGGCGTTACTGCAGATGCCAAATTGACTGATCATATCTAGAATGTCCCAAATGTCACTAATTCCTCCAAAAGCCGACCGGTAATAATATCATGTGGCGTTAAGTCCTCCTCGAGTAATAGTTTTTGTATGGTGTAGGGGGGCAAAAGAGCAGACGGGAAAAAAACTACCCCTGCTTATAGACACCTGCAATTCGAGAGTAACTTGGCGACCGGGTTCCTCCGCCTAGAGCCAGGGGAAGGCAGGTTTGGTCACTGGTAACCTCACTCATTTGGCAAAAAGCAAGGACATGCAGAGAGTCTTAAATACACGAAATAAAAATATAAAAATTGCTTACATTTTATTATTCATAGTATCCTCTGCTAAAAACGCCCGATATGTATCAGTGTCCAGGATGCTTTTATTATAATTCGTCAGGGTATCAAAGCGTTTGTAGATCGCCAAGTCAAGGTATGTGGATACAAAAATTGTGTTAGCAATATTCCTGAAACAGATATTTGTGAACATGTGAATATGAAGGGTTCCTATAAAAAGTTTTGTTTTCTTTAAATATTGTCTTTTCAATGATTATTAATTCTTATATTGATTCGGTAAAATTTTCATAAAGAGGAGTTTTTATTTGCTTTATTTCGTTTTTAATTCTTAACTATTAAAATTTATTAGAAGGATTATTGTATTTGATATTGTGGTTTATATAAATATTAGTCATAGGTAAATCTATAATTGTTGAAATTTCAAAGGAGAAACAAATATTTATTACTTGGTCAACATACCCCACACTATGCATAGTCATTAACAAATAATATAGACATCCTGGTAAAAAGGAGACTAATTTTTCTTAAAATTTTTGCAGAATTCTCTCGAAATATTCATTTAACTTTTAAAAAGCTTCGTTCATTTATATTTTCTTCGCATACAGTAAACCACTCATTGATTCGACTCTTCTTACAGTCAATCATAATCTTTCATTCATTCAGTTGTTGGTTATAGAAATTAACAGTGAATTCAAAGGATTTTAATCCTTATGAGTCTTTAATTTATGTAAAATTTACCTGTAATCTGCATTAACTAATTGATACGAACCTGTCAGCGACCAGTTTATTCAATTTGTATTTGTCACAGCCAAGGTTTTTGTGGTCAATATCGGCCAATTCGTCAGGGTTATGTGGCCGAGTTACATTATATTTTTTCAGAATAAGGAGGTGCATGTCAGTCATCGTTTTTAGTATACGCAGCTCATTGTTGCACTCCTCTAAGATTTGAAAACAGTATTTAACATTAATTGGGTAGGTACAGTTAATAATAGATCTGCAAAGGATGTTTAACTGTCAAGCTCTACAATCTAGCAGATACAGCAAAACCATTTTTTATTTCATAGTAAAGTTTGTTGATCAAGCGTGAATTGCCAATGGAATATACATAGAAAAATTGTGCTTTAAGTTCGGTTCGACACATTCTGCAAAAATCTAGACAACATTGGTACGGCCATTTAATAAAAAAATATATAAATACATAATTTAAATGTACCGTAAATTATGTCATATTTTACCAGTAAAAAAGAAACATTACTATTATATTGATATTAATATATATCAATCTAGAAATAAACAATTTTTCATGTAATTTTTCATTTTCATTATTTCTTTTTTTTTTGGACACAGATTCATCTTTCTGAACTTTTAAATTGAGTTATGTCGTCCTAATTTCAAATTTTCATTTATTTTCAAACGAGGTTGGTTCTTATTGCTCTTTACCCTGATTTTAATTAAGAAATTCAATTGTTAGTAATAAATAAAATAATGAAATTGGTACCTAAGAGGCGAATTTCTGTGATGGCATCTTCCATTAAAGTTGCAAACAAACTGGCTTGGAAAAATTGTAGTCTGAAAAAAAAAGAAATAAAATTAAAAATATTGTTGTTGCTAAACTTGGAACTTGAACCTTGTTTTTGCTGCCTGCTTATTCACCTACAACTTCTAAATATTATAAAAAACAATGAATACCTTTGTCCTTATATTTGTTAAAGAGTTGAAAAACGGGTACAATCATATAAGATTTCACAGAACCTATTGTAGTAATGAAGCCAAAAACTATAAATTATTATCATCGCGCTATGAAGGATTAAGATTACGGAGTGTCACCACCCTTATTCATCAAGTGAGTGTCGAGGTGGGAGCAAATTACGCAGGACTGCAAACATAGAGAAGGAAAACTTGAAACAAACCCTATTCCAACCCGTCTGGCCAGCGTGGTATACCTAGTAGGTCAAACCCTCTTTTCTAAGGAGTGCCCTATGTCCAGCAGTAGACTACTTAACCGTACTTGTCATCGTATGTGTTGTGACAAAACATAAAAAACTTTTATTAAAAGAAAAAAAGTTTTTTTTTAAATTAAATAGCCTGAGAAATAAGGGGTAATAGTGCGGTGAAACGCTAGGCGTACATTATTCTTTAGTATTGATCGTTACTGTTATTTAATTTTATGATTTCATTAAATTACTATAAACGTTAAAATAAGTTATTTGCACGATATCTTTGCCTAAAAACCATTTTAAATATTTTTTGTCTATCTTTCTGGTTGTTCTGGACGGTGTCAACACGGCATGACCAATTTTAATCACTAAGGCAGCGCTGTTCAAATTCAAAGTCACGGGTACCAGCTAGTAAGTAGTATATATAATTATGGTGTGGTTGATGCTGACGCATGTTTTACACTGACACTCTTGCAAACGACCCGAGACAGATGGCACTTCACGGTGTGTCGTCCAAGGCGGGGCGCTGTTGCACCTCTTACTGTATAGAGTAGTAAGAGGCGCCTCAGCGTCCTGCACCACGGTGACTACGGTCACCCCGGGAGCTGGCTCAAACATGGGGTCCGGCAGAGAGGTCTCCAGAAGCGGCCGATGCTTCCTGGTGCTCTTTTCGAGTGCCGAGGTTGGATGCCACGGGGCTTAGTGGGTAGACCGGTTCTCCGGGGGTCCCACACACGCCCTGTGTTTCCCCAACGGAGGGTGTAAAAAAAAAGGGACGTGTTAATTTGTTAGGTCTCTTACTTGGAGGTCAATAAAAATCACAACTTACCTGACGTTATCTTCATCGGAAATACAAGAATCGATAATGGATAGGCCCGATTCCTGCAATTTAGATTTATTTTTGTTATTATTACATTTGTTGATTTGTCATTTAACTCTAGTCGTGTCGTATTTAACATGATCAATTTAGTATTCTTCGACCTTTTTAATGGTTTTTTAAAGTAATTAACAAAAATATCGCATAATAGCAAAGATGTACTAGTGTAGGGAGAATGTGATTATCAGGCTGGTAAAATTCTTAACAATTTTATTGAAAATACTTGTTATCTGCGATAAATCACAGAAAGTCAATATTGTTTTCTGAAGCAACACAAAATTTAGAACAAATTTATTTAGCACTGCTGCTGTGGTAACGAATTATTTAGTAATAAGGTTACCCCTCTTAACTTAGCCGATGTTTCTCTGATCAAGCCATCATCATACTCCGAAGGGTCTTCGGGCTCGTGCACGCGGTGGAGGCGCATTATAGAGTTAGGCATGTTATATGTTGTGAAGAAATATGCTATCAGCTAGCCCAGCTAGCAGCAGCTAGGATTATTCGGTAAAATGCTTTTCATATAAAAATAAGTAAAAAGTTCTCCATACAAAATATTTAGAGAAAGAGAATATATGATTCTGAAGTAAATGTCAAATCGACATAGTTTGCTTTTTTTTTAATTTTTAAAGATTTATAAGAAAAAAGTTCTGTTACTAGTTCTGTTGCGAAGAATAGTAAGTATAGTGCTCCATACAATATTGCACTCTTTTTAAGGGTAGTTTGAAAATTAGTAACAACGTTTTTTATTACTTTCAATAAAGAGTATTTACTGTGAGTTTGAAAACGCTACTAAGTACTAAAAAGAACAAAGTTTCATATAAATTTCCAACCTCCATCATGCACCCTAAGGGGTGGAATTTTTTAAAATCCTTTCTTGGTAAACATCTACGTCACCTAAGGAACATTTGTGCAATATTTCAAGCTTCTAAATGCAGCGGTTTAAGCTGTGAATTAATCGATCATTTACCGATCAGTCTGTCAATTTCTTCTTTCACAGATATATATCAGCTAGTTTACCATTTAAAAAACGTGTTAATTTGCCAGTTTAGAGTATTCGCTAAAATAATTTGCTATTGTCCTAATTGAGTCATAGGGTAATAATTTTGGCATTAAAATGTATTTAAATAACATGTAAAAATTCCTTAAAATTAATCGAATTTATTCAAAGAAAGTATTGACAGGATCCACTGAACTTATTACAATTTACAAAAAAAACCATGTAGAAATAGGAATTTAAACAAACGATTACAAAATTTTAAAATTAACTTTTTGTGTTCTACAAGTCCATGATTTGAATAACATTCACATTGAGTTGTCCTTTGGGTATTTAGCTTGTAAGACCAAATGCTATCAACTTTAGTTGGAAGGTTGCAAGAAGCCTCTTTGTAACACTATCTCTAAAAGTGATAATTCAATAATGTGTGCTGTACCAAAATTGCAATCAGGCTTGTTCGTAGCTATACTTGAAGATGCTATAACACAACTTCATATTGTAGGTAGGTACGAGTGCTTTCTTCTTTCGAGTAGACAACTCTGGGTATGAATCACTACAGAGCGACTACGTCGAAGTCGATTAAAACCAAACGAAATCAGACAAAAATTATTACAGGTGTTGCCTGCGCTTTACATAACAAATTCCTTTCTCCTATTCTCTAAGACTCAAATACTCTAATACCTTGAGGGGCTCTCCTAACTAGGTAATTTAGAGCTTTCTAGTCGCTCAACCTTATTAAGACTACTCTACTAGAAGGGAAAAGCATTGTTTTTTTTGTCGCAATATTTGAAAAGTTAAATTTATGGCCCAGTGGGTTTCCAATGGAAGATAGTATATGATATTCTGTATTTGCTATAGTTGTAATAAATTACATTTTTAATTTCTGTGCATCTACCACGTTTGTCTCTGCATCGCCCTATGGTAGAAAATGCTTGCATTAAGTCCGCCTGTGTCACATTTGATTATTTATTAGTATCCACACTTACTACTATCATTACAGGTATATCCTAATGCGATAGTGTAACTATTACAAAAATACTTGTTTTACACTTCTAAGTTTGTGTCTTGTAACATATAATATGTAATGCTGTCTTTGTGAACTCACTCAGTGTACAGGTAAATAAGTCAGTATCTGTGGCTACGAGGTTCAGGGTGCAAAAATATTTAATAAATAAATAGCAAAATTGAACTTTTAGTTCGGTTCGACTCATCCTACAAAATATCTAGGCAATATTAGTTAAAAAAAAAAAAAAATACCATCAAGCATGTAACTGGTGTGCATACTACTAACGCAAATAACCGTATTTACCCGCACCGTGTAGAAGAACCCTTTTTGGATTGATTGCAACAAAAGTATTTTGTGACTGTAACCTTTTACTAAAGGTAGAAATAATACCCGCACCGTGTAGAAGAACCCTTTTTGGATTAATTGCAACAAAAGTATTTTGTGACTGTAACCTTTTACTAAAGGTAGAAATAAAAAAAAAAGAGTTGTTGCCACGTCATACATTTGACACGTTAGTGCCAGTGTGGCTGTGCCAGGCCTGTTTTAATTTATTATGGTAAATATTTTATGTAATTTGTGTTGTATATTTTGTTTTATGTGTTTTTATTTTTGTAAAATTCAAACTCTTAGAAAAATGGTGTTTAGGAATTCTTATAAAATAAAAATAAAATAAAAAATAAATATAAAAAATAAATTAAAAAATTATTATTATTTTTATATTATTAATTATATTTATTTATTATTTATTTTTTATTTTTTATTAAATTAAAAATTAATTTCTATTAAATTATATTCCTCGTGTATAGGAAACACGGTGTTGCTTTCCTAAAAAGGCGCGCACTCGCTTCTCAGCTGTTGCCACCCCGGCCTGCTCTGCTGGGGTGACAGATGGCCTCACCCCTTTTTTTTCTATGCGGAAATCTCATAACTTAACTTGCTCTCTCATAACTTGCTCGCAGAAGGAGGCGGTGGCGTTCCACGCACTCCGGCTCTGTATCATGGCGGCAATCATGTTACCGAGCGAGTGAATTCCCATTCCGATGGCCGCCACGAGGTCACGCCTTTGCTCAACCCACGCCGGGCATTCTGCCAGCGCGTGGGGCGCCGTGTCTACGGTCCGGCCATCGCACTTAGGCGTTGGCTCCTTGCGGATCAGACACATGTGATCTCCGAAACATGTTTTCCGGGTGATCACCTGCGTCAGCCTGTATGACAGGGTTCCGTGATGTCTCTCAAATCCTTCATAACGGGTCTTACCACCGCGATAACGGCATGCCGTCACCTGTCACTGCGCTTATGGAGAACGGAGGTTGTTCAGCGACCTTCGGTGCCTGCTTCCTTTTGCGGAGCTTCCTTTTTTATGGCATGATCATTTGGCCCTATGCCGTAAAAAACACTTTTTAATATTTCTGTCAGTATGCGTGCCCTTCCCGTGCCGTGCCCTAAATTAATTTAATCTTAGCAAATATATCTTTATTAGTAGTAGGATGGACTACTATTTCACAAACTCATTTCTGATAGGTATATAAGTTTTTTTGTAAAACATGTCTGCATGATTTTTTAAAGGAACAAATATAATCATTTTTTAATATGATAATATATCTCCCATCAGTTTTTATGTTGACATACCATTGTCCTTGCATTAAGTCAATGAAAAATAATAAACTAACGATGTATTGGTTCAAACTTTACAACCCCTGATATACTTACCATCATAGTTATTAACATCACCGTTTTAAATACCTGATCATTATAATCACCCAACAGCTTGCTAATCGAGACCGCTTTAAGGGACTGGCTTCAGTTTAAATAAATTTGGAAAAAAAAGTGGGGTGCTTTTTACTATTGACAACAGTTTTTTTAATCTTTTTTTTTTAAATTAGTGTATTGTCATCGGTCCTAGATATATCTACAAAATTTGAACAAATTCGGACCATTTAAAGTCAGTCAAAATCACGCCCAAAGGAGTCATCGGTTACAAACAAACATACAAGTGAAGCTAATATTAGGTATTTACCTATGAAATTGCCGTTTTGTATGCAATAAGTGAAAGTACTTATTTTTTCAAACTTTTTTATTTCTGTTATTCGAAGTAATCACCCATGCAATCGACGCATCTTTGCCAACGCATTGGCAGATTATTGATGCACTTCTTATAAAAATCAGCTAGACGGGAGGCAACAAACTCTTCAAAGGCATTTTGTACTGCCTCTCGGGAATTGAATTCTTACCCACTAAAAAGTTGTCTAAATTTTGGAAAAAGTAATAGTCGGTAGGTGCAAGGTAAAAAATTAAATTCCCGAGAGGCAAGCAATCAAAGCAAGCGTGGTGGCGCGGGCTTCTTATGAGATTGAAGCTTAGGCCATTTAAAAAAAATACGGTGTCAAGAAAGGGTAATAAGAAAATGTATAAATTTTCAAGACAGTTGTAACTGATTAGTCAAGCAATTTAATACTCGTAGTGTCCTTTACTAGTTTTATACTTGAGTTAAAATGAAAAACTTACTTATGTTCGAAATAAAGATGGTCTATAAAGTTATGTTTTTAATAATAATAGATGTGTTATTTATTTATAAAAGAAACGTGTGCGTCTCGGGACGCCAGACAGAAGTGATAACTTAAACTAATCTAAGTTGAACTATTTAACATTGAAATTGTTTAACTTGAGGAAGCTTAATTTATTACTTAAATTTTATGGAAAACGTCTGTCCGAAATACGGCTAGCACTATGCTATGCTACGTATGTGTGAGAGGAAGGGAAGCCCGACAGACTGACGCCGTAACGCGTTACGTATAGAAGCGATTTACCCTCCCATAAGATGTTATCGCTTCGTTAAGTAAGTACCTAAATATGTATTTAAGTGCGATATTCGCAAATAGTTGAACTAATTCGCTTTTTTGGTATTGACTGCCTGGGAGGTGCAGTGGTCTCGGGTTCGATTCCCGGGTCGGACCAAGTGTATGATCTGCAAATATATTTTTCGGAGTGTGGGGTTTCTATGTACAATATGGATGTATTTACAAAAAAGTATTCTATTAGTCAATCCAATTTTTACCGTACAAGCTTTACCTAGTTTGAAACTAGATGGCGTTGTGTGTCAGATGTCCCCAATATTTTTAAATTTATTTATTTATAAAGAGAAAAATTGTAGAACTTTTCTTGGGCTGCCAATGCTATGATGGTCTGATCGGTTTTTGGCGCCTTTCTGACTTTGTTCTTACAGGCGTTAGGTATTGAGTAATTCATAGATTTGCCCCATTTTTAGAAATTGCTACTTATATTTTCTTCGTACTTCCTCTACTGTCCCTTTACTTATTGTTTGTACAAGAAAAAGATATTGTCCATATTTTGTACAGTGAGAAAGAAATCACAATTGCTAAAAAACTAATTTTATAATGAGAAGAAACATGGCTTAAACGTTAGTTATGATTATGTAAATTTCATCTTCGTGAGTCTTGACAGACATTCTACGCTGATTATGTTCGTTATAAAATAATTAACAATCTTTTTAATCAAATGAATAATAACAACCAAATATTTAAGCAGATACTTAAATTCTGAATATAAGAATTAATAAAGGGCGTAATGTAAAATAGGGTGCAAACTCATAAAATGGGTCCAAATCTAATAAAAGTGGTTTCTAAAAAGGGGGCGAATCTCTACGAATCGTGGTTGACTGTGTATTCACGTGTCTACTCATAAAATTGGGAATTTCTAAAAAGGGAGCAAATCTCTCTAAATTACTCTGGGCGTTACGTTTAGGGACAAAGACAGAAATGGGGCAAAAACCGAACAGACCGCTATGAAACGGTTATTCGGCAGTCAGTAACCGGTCATCCTTCTGTAACATATACCGATCCAATTTAATGCACACAAATATTTTATAGCCATTCACCATGGCTTGTGGTTGCCTCTGTGTACACGTGTCTATAGTAAATCAATGAGGTTACACAGAAAAGAGGATGGATTCCACCAAAATGATATAGGATTGTTAAGTTATTGTGATACTGTCCGTGTTCACTACACGGACAGTATCACAATTAAGAACACGGATTAAGAATACGCAATGTCACTACCCCAATTCATCAAGTGGGTGTCGTAAGAGCCGACTAAGGGCGCAAAACAACGCAGGACACCAGCACTGCAAAAAGAAGGAAAACTTGACACAAACCCTATGCCAACCCGACTGGCCAGCGTGGTATAGTAGGCCAAAACCTCCTTTCTAAGGAGAGACCTATGTCCAGCAATGGACTATTAAAGGCTGTTGATGTGAAGGTCTTAAGAATGTTCTTCATTTCATTTGTCCATTATTTGGAGATGGGGCAATAGCGGAACGTACACTATACATACACTTGTCAAAATGTTTATGGTGGCTATCTGAGGATTTAAAAAAAGAATTATTCACAAAAATAAAACAGCAACAACCAATCAAAAATGTTATATAAAAAAATATAATGTTAGCAAAGTACTATAACAAATGTAAAAATAAAAAATATAAATATTTATTTATCTCAACATAATATGTGTACGCGTAGGAACTCTTCTAGTCACTATTTATAGCTATTCTAGTGTTTAATCATAGTGTGCTTATATTTCACTTTTTCTTCTGTTTCTCTTGTTTCTGTTTGTTTTTTTTCTGTTTCTCCAGCTTCTTCATCATTCTTGGATTATATGGTCCAAGTTCTAGCCTGACGAGTAAACCCCGCCACCACGATTGCACCGATATCGCTGCGTTCGTCATTTTCAGGCGATACTGACGAAGGTTTTCGCGTTCTTCTTTGAACTGTAGCCATGCCCTTATCTCTTTTTCGTGGTCAACAAGCTGTTAGTGGAATTTAAGGTTAGGATTTGAAATTGGTAGTCAATGCAAAAAAACGAGGAAAACATCGAATAAAATAAAAAAAATCGCCTCGCTAATTATGAGGTGAATATTACTAATTTATTTATTTTCTATTACAAAGTTTCAAATAACATATAGCAATTTAAATAAAAGTAGGTTTTAGGGTGACCAAAGATCGCCTGGTGGTTGTTTTATTTTCTACTATAACTTGGGTGGTCACTGTGCGAGTATGGGCTGTTTTACTAAATAGTAATATATTTTTACTAATAATATATAGGTATGAGACTCCCGATAGCTTTATATTTATATATTTAATTTTTACTATATAATGCATAAGTAATTGTAAAAAAGAGGTTTTCCCCACTCTGACTTATAAACTTTAAGTGTACCAAAAATCACGTTCACGTATGTGCTCGTTTGCCTAAAAATGAATAGAATTAATTTTCAGATTTTAGGATTATAGTTCGATTGATGTTATGTTTAGAAGGAGTCTGACTAGTTTAGAAGTCGAGAATCCTCAATACAAAACGCTTGATAAAGTGCAACACTTAAGCAGGTAATCGTGAAACTGAAGCTGTGTGTCCCTTACTTGTGTTAATTAACATTGATTATTCAGTTATTCAGTTCCTGGATAATCTAGAATTCTATCATTGGCTCACCTATATGAAAAATTCTGTGAGGAAAACCTGATCCTCAACCTGCTGTTGTAGATCGTGTTGTATTTTCCTACTAACCTTTTGCGCCATTTCAATCCTGGTTTGAGTTTGATCTTCTAATTTTTTTTTCAATATTTGCAGTTTGATATCAATTGCTTCTATATCCTTATCATATTTTTGCATCACCTCTTCTATGAGATGCAAAGTTTCCTAAAATTTTAAGAGTACATGTATGAAATTAATATAATCAAATCAAACTAGAGAAAATCCATAACAAGCACGAGCGAGCTTTATAGTAGTTTGCATATGATGTCAGATGTTACACCACACCATCATCTGAATTAAATTGCGCTCGCTTCCGTTCCGATTCCTCTCCAGGAAATAACTCCCACTTATTGCGGGAATGTGAGGAGAAAGATGTTACAAATCATGAAAACACTTTACTAATTGTCGCCTGCGGTATTTCGGACCGATACGACCTTTAAGAAAAGAGGCCAGCAACGCACTTGTGACTCCTAAGTTGCAGGCGTTCATGGGCGGCGAAGTTACTTTCCATCAGGTGACCCGTCTGATCGTTTGCTCCCTTTATCATTAAAAAAAAACATTTGAATGTCAACGAGCTATCCGCTATTATTCGTAAATCGAGAACTTGGAGTAAAATAAAGACAGCACAAAGTGACAAAACTGTGAAAATGATTTTTTGCTTGCTTTTGATTTCGATATAAAACTCGAAATATAAAACACAAGATATTCATGCCAAATCATTGGCATAAGGATAAGAAGTTGAGGTTACATAAGCTGTCTTGAATTAAATGGCAACTTTTTATCTTTTCTAAACTTGGTAGGTATATTTCAAAACTTAAAAAGTTAATAGAACAGTTATTTTACGGTTTAACAGTATGCGTTTGTAGTTCAAATTTCTGAAACACTTACATTGAGCTGAATGTTAGCAAGCATTTCCACTTCAGAGTGCACGCGCTGTTCTTCGTCACATTTCCTTCGGTAATGCGCAATCGCTCCAGACGAGCCGGCTTCCTTATTCTGAATGCCAAACGTGTGCTGTTCACAACGCGCTTCTTGCCATGTATCGATGTACCGCTGGCGAGCCTCTCTCTGCAGTGACGAATCCTGGAGACCAAGTTCCTTTTAATTACGGCAAGATGGTGCGGAGTGTCAATTCTAACAAAAAGAGTTATCTTTCTCTCTTTCAGTGTTTAATGGGAGTTTCTGTAAATGTTATGTGTGTACAAACTATGCTAAATTTGAGTTTAGAAGGTGCCGTGTAATCGGAGCCAGAAGAGATGTTATACTTGCCTCAATTCGACTTATAAGTTCGCTTACGAAAGCATTGGTTTCATATACAGAAGATTTCATATGATTCCTTTGATGTCGTAAGTTTCTCAACAATTCACGTCGTTTTCTGAAAGAATCAACATCAAGAAAGAATCAACTGAAATAATGCTTCTATGTCCACAGGGATCTATGTCTAGATAGAAGCCTCAAACCCTCAAACCCTATTTGACCATCGATGGAAAATACGTGGATATACAATGATGATGACTTTTTCTCCTATATTTGTCACATGCGTCACACTTGCGGATGGCACTAAAATAAAGCATTACAAAAGCTCAATATGTGATAGCCCATCCTTAAGTGTTTTAAGAGGCGATTCCGGAAATTTTTCGATTCTCAGCTGTAACAAACTAATATATGTATACATGGTATATTTATGGTTAAAATATGGTCAATTAATATGGTTAATATTGTAATGTAATGTGCGAAATTAAGTTTTATTACAATTTATTTACATGAAATCTGTTTATATTCTTTATATTTCTATTTCTGTATATAGTAAAGGCTGAGGCAGTTCAGGGAGAAAAAAAATAAACTGGCAGGTTTTTCAACGTGATTAGTCGGGTAAAAGTATCAAACATTTTTTTGCCAAGTCATTCAGAAAAACGGGTAAATTGAGAATAAATTTAACTTTGACTTCTAATAACTTTTAACTGAGTTGATTTTTCGAAAAATTACAGCAACCTTTTTGTAGAGCGTTCAATTTTCTACAAAAATATTTGATGAACATTGCAGTGCAATTCATTAGTTCTAAAAATCAGCGAAAAAAAATGCGATGCGGACAACCTTAATATTAATATTAAGGGCTCACATTTTCAGAGACCTATTTTGGCATTTAAACGAAACTTTTGAGCGTGGTTAATGGTTATGGCTCTGTACTTATTTGCTCTACTGAATAGAATGCTTTTAGCATGAAGTCCGTCGTAAATATAAATAAAAATAAAATCAGCAGAGGCAAGAATGTGATGATGATAGATTGTGAATGTAATAAGGCTTGCGATTGGGCTACGTACCCGTTGGACCAAGTTTGAGTCCCTATGGACCCTCTTCAAAATAAAATAATTAATGTTCCCCTGGATGTCTTTTTTAGTATCAGTTAGACCTTCAAAATGAAAACCACTAAAAAGGATCCGTTGAACGCGTCGCCTCTTTTTTAGTACCCTAAAAGGTATTAAATAACAATAAATTGCTTTAAAAAAAACTTTGAATTGAGTTCAAACAATATTAACAAAGACCATTAAAAACCTAGCAGCAATCGCGGTTGATTTGCTGTCATTTTTTGAAGAGTTCCGTTGTTTGTCTCCGAAATTTATCGTCAGATCTACATATATGAAATTTAAATAGGACGATTTTGGAATAAACCCCTTTCGAACAATAATTTTGAAAATCCGTCTATATTTGACGGATTTATACATAAATAAAACTAATTAATAACCGTCTCATAAGTAAGTAAATACAGGCACACTAGCGACAGACTAGTAGTCGTTGTTGAAATATTTTAAATACAAACAAAAAACATCAAATCATTTTACCCGTAGATATTTTAATTTTTGACATAGTGTTTAACTTTTATACACGATTGTTTTTAAGCTTTTTACACGAAGATGTATAAATGAAGTACCTACAATGGAACGCGTTCCTTGATAGAGGGTCTAATGGGCACTAAAGTATGGGCAAAATTCAAGTTTGAAGGTCCAAACGGTACAGGGCGGTCCAATGGATCAAATTTGTAGATGAGGTCCAAACTTCGAGGGGAAACAGGTACGTAGCCTACGATTGTGCTTTTTATTGACACATCAACATTTAAAAAAGTACAAATTGTACCCACAAAGTGTTGCTGAAATTAGTTTACATTGAGAGAAAATCGATTCTTACATTTTATTTGTAGATTCATCTTCTAGTAGCTTCTGGTTGATCTGCTCCCGAGATAATACGGATTTTATATGTTTACTCAATTGAAAAAAGCTCTGGTTTAGCGATAGGTCTAAATATGTTTCCTTTAAGACGTTACCGCATAATCGTCTAGAAGTAATCACAAATTGATTAAATAAGATAAATGTATACCAAATGTCAAGTACCATTACCTACTAAGAGCTATCCGTCGCTATAGTCTGTTCGCAGATTAATGGACTCTCGAAATATATAGTTAACTTTTAAAAAGTATCACAAAATTCAGTGAGCCTTAAACTGTATTCTTCAATTTTCCACCCATAGCGGTGGTACCTTTACTTTAAATGTGAGTAGGTGTTAACGGAAACTATTCTCCAAATGAAAAAAAATAAATCAAATCGCTTCATAAATGACGGAGTTCTGAAAAGAAACAAAAAAATAATACAACCGATAGAACCTCCTTTTTTACCCGTCTACCAAGGAAAGGTTATATCTTTGTCTTTATGTTTGCATTACCTCGTATCTTCCAAAACGCTGGGAGGATTTTGAGAGTTAAGGTATTGTTTTATCCGTTTTAAAAACACAAGTGTCCTTAGATGGCTTTTTGAAAAAAAAACAAAATGGCAAATTTTTGGCGCAAAATAGTAATAGGTTATTAAAAAAAAACAACTAAAGTTATCGAGTAGGGTATCAAAATCAAGAAAATTAAGAGGGGATTACAAAAATATATACAAATTATATGTTACAATTAAATAAAGAGGAATAAATTGGTTGAAAAGTTATTCAGAGCGTAAAAACGGGTCATGTTTGTATCGGACCTCGTGCTGTTACGGTCGTTATAGTGCATTACTTTAAAATTATCCTTTGGCAGTGAAGTTTTTTATTTTTTTATTATAACTTGTTTATTACTTAATTATAAAAGCTTTTTAAAAGCCTGATAGGATTCCAAATAAAACAATCATCGAATTTAATAAATAGATGTCATTTTTTTAACGTAAATTAGAAAATTAAATCTAACTTTTTTTTTTATTTGATTACATTGTAATAGGGAAGAGTAATAAAACAAAACGACTATAATTTTTGCAGAGAACTGCGCGTGAGAATTACTCGATATTTTTCCAAAAATGTAGTAATTGCTCAATACTGGTAATCCAAGATCAACACATACCTATCAGCGATCAGTTTAAGCAGCTTATGTTGTTCACCATCAACATCCTTTACATCTATATTGTCTATTTCAGTTTTGATTTTTGATGGCTTAACACTGAACTTGGCACAGAGCAACTCATTCATATCGTACTGTACTTTTAAAAGACGCAGCCCGATATTGCATTTGCCTACAAAATAATTTATTACTTGCTTTAATGGGAATAGACAAAAGCTTGTACTGGAAAAATGTGAAAAATTTAAGCCTACCGTCATTGCGTTTGGAAAATACATCATGCTCACAACAAGCAAACGTCTCATAAAAAAGTGAAAAATTGTTGGAATAGTAATTTGGGGCAATATTTTAAGGCACAATATAAAATATCCTGGTCTGAACTGGAAGTATAACAGGCATAAATAAGAGGTATGCTAGTCATCTTCTATCTCTCTTATCTATCTATCTTTATCTATCATCAGGATGAACTAGAAATACGTGTTGTAATCCATTTTACATATTTTTTTACACTTACTCGAGTTATAGCAGATGTAGTGGCAAGAATTGAGAAAGTGATGCTGTGATGGTTTTTGCATTTTAAAGGGATGAGCGAGGAGCGAATAAGTAGAAGTGTTTTTAAGGCCCCTGTGAGTGGGCTAGCCGGTGCGAGAAGGCCCCGAAAGATATACACCGAATGCAGGCAGTGTACTGAAGTAAGACGTCGTTAAATGCACCCGAAACCAGCGAGTGTGTATGTAAAGCGTGATAAATTTGAAGAGACGCGAACTTTATCAGGATGTCTCTGCCTACCTCGGACGGGAATAATGCATGGGTTTATGTATGTATTTACAAGGTGAGTTAGACAATCACATACCTAAAAGATGAAGCTGTTGTAACATGTCTTCCAATATAGTGGCGAACAAGTTGGATTGAAAGTATGACAACCTGAGAAATAAATAATTTTATCAAATCAAAACTTGCTTAATTTTTTTAAATCCCAATTAAAATTTAAAGAACAAACATTTTAAAAAGTAAATATAAATGTGATGTTCATTAACAACATACCTATACCTAATACAAAAAAAACTGTTTAAATTTGTTGGCAAGAGAACACAATGTTTATTATTAGACTAGCTGACCCGCGCAACTTCGCCTGCTTCTCTCAAAAGGAAAAAATCCCCGTTTTTGCGACATTTTTAAATTCGAACCCTTACTTCCTGAGATTACCCTGAACATACAACTCACAAAATTTACCTTTTTACAATATTGGTATAGATCTCTCACAGTCTCCTGTCCCATTCACTCACTCACTTTTCATATTATGAGATTTAAAAAAAAACCTTTTTTTATTAAAATTGATTTTTATTGAATTGTTATAATACAAACCTTGTTCTGACAACAACGAACAAAAAAAAAAGAATTATGCCATTTGGTGCAGTCGTTCGGAAGTTATGCGTGTACATACATTTCGGCGATTCAATTATATATTATACTAGCTGACCCGGCAAACGTTGTATTGCAAAACAAAAAAAAAATAGGGATGGGTCACCGTTACCATTTAGGGGTATGAAAAATAGATGTTGGCCGATTCTCAGACCTACCCGATGTGCACACAAAATTTCATGAGAATCGGTCAAGCCGTTTCGGAGGAGTACGGGAACGAACATTGTGACACGAGAATTTTATATATATGATATATATACAAATATAGATATGCATATAATGTCAGTGTGCATCCATAAGGTAAAATACATATTGGGCACGCGATAGGTGAACGCAGTTGACTGCACGGATGGCGTCGTGGTTTAAGCGGTCAACTCGCCGCTTCCTACTGCGCTGACTGTTGTGGGTCCGATCCCCACATTCGACAACACTTTGTGTGATTCGGAAGTTAATGTTCTGAGTATGGGTGTTCTTTGTGTCCGTTTAATGTATGTTTGTAAAGTCCCCCGCGACACAGGATATATTCCTATTACGAGTGTCTTTTAAAAGTCGTGGACTGCGGTGAAAGGCCCGCCACCCGCCCGAAACCTTGTTTCGCATGCACACAGTATAGGGTGGTAATCCTATACTATATGGGAAGAGTATATTGATAATATAGAGTATGAGATAATATTTCAGTATCTTTTTTTGTGTTTTTCAAACATTTTCCTTTTTTTTTTGTTGAGTTTCATAGCTATCAAAATAATAATTTAAAAAAAACCTGCTTTGTCTCGCTTTAGACAGATTTGTATTGTAATCGATGTATTAATAATTATGTAGTGAAATATAGTTCAATTTCTACCTCTAATAATACCTAATAATAAATAAATAAATTAGGCTATAAATGACCTAGAAACATTATCCACCATGGAGGACCGGCGGCGGCGTCGCGTTTCTTTTACATGTATACTTCCTCTCGTTGTCTTGTATATTAAATACCACTTTCGACTTTCTTCTAACTTCTTTCTAAAACAAGTAACATTAATGACCATTATTATCATTTTAAATATGTATATTTCACCCGTCAAATTCAAAACGCGCAAATTTCTAAAACTACGTACTAGTTAGATTTAAATAGGTACATATTTATATTTTCAATCGATGTCGATGTAATGACATCCTTAGAAATATTAAACATTACTTTTCCACAGTTCATAAAAGGAATACAGCCTATGCAGTCCACTGATAAACATAGGCTTCGCCCCGAGTGATGCTTATATTATAGGCAATGGCGGCTTTAGCCGTTGCGAGGCCCCGGGCTTGTAGATCATTGCGAAGCCCTTGGCTCTATGGAACTAGTTTTGATCATGATACTTGGAACAAAAAATTTAGTGCAACACATACGCGCAGCGCGAACATTAAAGGCATAAGCCGACGACAATTGTCATTGGAAGCCTGTCAAAATGAATCGAGAGCGAGTTGTGTGATGTTAGTTTTATATTGCGAGATTTAAATAAACATTTTTCTACTTGGGTTGGAGCGCGAGTTTGCGAGGCCCATGCATGAGCGAGGCCCTGGGCGGTCGCCCCGCTCGCCAACCCCAAAGGCAGCCCCTGATTCCATAAAATAAATATGTCTAATTTTGATGCAGTCACTATATTTATTATAAAGTAGTTGGTGACGTAGTGTACATGAGGGTTGCAGTAATATAACTACCTACTACGGCATCAAAAAAATAACAAACTCATACTTATTTGCATTTATAATATTAATGAGCATCCGTAGTTGTCCTTAACAGGTCCAACACATGGTCCGTTAACTAGAAAAAAGCTTCTAGCCGACACATATAAAATGTTTATCAAGAAAAGCATGAAAAACCACCAAAATATTTGATTTGATTCGGCGGATTAAATTCCTAAATTGTGCCAACCTCATTACTTTTTTAACTTCACCAAATTATTTATGTTTCTAGCTTGCTTATGAACTTAGTAATGGATTTTTCTAAGTGTTTGTTAGAAGATGAGATCATATACATACTCATTGTCTTTGTCATTTCTATGTTTATCTGGTGATCTTTTGGAATCCTGAAAAAAAAGAAAAAATATATTTTTAAAATCGGTTTATAAATGACGGAGTAGGACGGATGTAACGAACATTAAAAAGAAAGTAAACCGAATTGAGCACCTTCTCTTTTCGAGACTTTGGAATCGGTTAAAAAAAAGTTTATTTATAGTTATATTTGTTTACAAACAAACAATTATTAACATATATTAAAAATAGGTTATAACATTTGTGTGTTATAGAGTATTGCATTGTATATTGTGTGTGGCTACAGAAGTTATTTGACAGAGAACTGGAGTAACCGACATAGCACGCTGCACGGACAATCAGTACGCTAAAGTGCAAGTGAGCCGGTCATGTCTTCTGATGGACTGATGGTCGCTGGACCGGAAATGTGCTAGAATGGACACGATAAAGCAAATGTAGTTTAGGACAGTTAGTAGCAGGACGGCGATAGGTTGATGATTGATAGCAGCTCCAACTAAGTTAAGTCCTAGTTCTAGGAGTATCTAGGGTAACATTCCGTCCCATGGCTGCCTTACTTTGCACAGAAGTGGTGAGCCAATTATTTAGTTACGCCGTGTTCTAGCAGAAGATTGCAATTAACTGATAAGATTTAATTAAATTACTATTTCTATTAATAATTTTGAAATATAGAAATAATATTCGGCTTAAGGCACAGCCCAATAATAGAAAGTCATTCACATTTCCAACTTATTAACGGACCTTTTATACACAAAGTCTTAAAGAGAAGTTACATACGCATAAAGAGAAGCATTCAGGTCCTGACTCTTCTTTCTTTTTCATATCACATCAACAGCCTTTAATAGTCCACTGTTGCACATAGGTCTCTCCTTAGAAAGGAGATTTTGGCCTACTATACAACGCTGGCCAGTTTTAATAAACCCTATGGTTTGTGTCTCTTTGCAGTGATGTTCTTCTGCATAGTTAGCACCCGTAGTCGCCTCTTACACACCCACGGGATGAAAAGGGGTGGTGACACTCCGTATTTTTAATCCGTCACCAGACGGATCCTTTCTATTTACATAGTATTAACCAAACTATAATACTTAGGTGTCGATTTGTAAAACCCGATTAACTAATAATAAATTAACACATTCAAACACGGTAGTCTGCTCCCAAACTATGCAGAGCTATAGTAACTAGACTGCTGATAAACATACTTAAACATTTATAAATAAATACATATATTAGATAAATTACACTTAGATAAAGAACAAATGATCATGCTTATAACACAATTATTTGTCCTGGGTGGAATCGAACCCACGACCTCCGGCTTCGCAGTCAAGGTCACTAACCAATAGACCAACAGGTCAGTCGAACTATGATTTTATAGTACTTACCGCTCTGCATATAGATTCACGTGTGAAGAGTGGCGAGTCATCGTAATCATCCTCGTCTTCCTCCTCCTCGTAATCAAAATCACTAGGAAAATCAACTACCATGTCTTCTTCCAAGGACATAATGTACTTCACAAGTCGGGTACAAAAACTAAATAATCTCTAAAATGTATAACTTTAGCAAAAGACGAGTAAACAAACATGTATAAAGTTAAAACATACGTAGGTAATCAAATAAATTAATTAAAAAATATTGTAAAAATTATAATATTCGACTCATAATTGTCGCATTGACATTAAAACTACCCTTTATAGAGTTTTATCTATGTCTATTCTGTGTCAGGATGAGGGTATAAAGCAGCGTCCACACTATGCCGGAGTATGCCGGGCGAGGCCGGGCGGGCTGACCCGGGCGGCCTAAGCCGGGCGGGTTCGTTCGGGCCGGCACGACGTCCACACCGAAAACGAGGCCGCCCGGGTTATATCTACCTATTAGTTTCAATTCGACACCAAGACTGGACAACTAAAGCCGCCCGGTGCCGCTCGGCACGTCCCCACTACATATTTTCGTACGGCTCGGGCCGGCATCCTTTGATCTACCTACCTACTTTCTGCGGGTTGGGATCGGCTCGGCTCGGGCCGGCTTTTTAAGCCGCCCGGGGCGTCCACACCAACCCGGCTTAGGCCGCCCGGGTCAGCCCGCTCGGCCTCGCCCGGCATAGTGTGGACGCTGCTTTATCTGCCAGTTGTTCGAATAAAAACTAACTTAATTTATAGATATATAAAAAGGTTAAGTTTAAAGTTTATGATTTTTGGAAATCGTAAAGAATCTATATATTAAAAGGCACAGAAAATGCTTCCTTTATACCCATTTCGAACAAATACGGCTAGTGGCGGCTTTTGGGGGTGGCTAGGAGGGCAACCGCCCGGGGCCTCGCACATGCAGGGGCCTCGCGCACTCGCGTAACGTCCCAAGTAGAAAAATCTTCATTTCACTTCGCGTCTTCAGCAACATCATCAATAGCCTATATCATCAATATTCCACTGCTGGACATAGGCTTCTCCTTAGAAAGGAGGTTTTGGCCTACTATACTACGCTGGACAGACGAATTAGTATAGAGGTTTCTTTCAAGTTTTCCTTTTATTTGCAGTGCTGATGTCCTCCTAAGGAGAGGCCATATCATGATGCATGATGATGATGACTTTGGCCTGCAAGCTTCGTTGAATAAGTTTATCAATCAATAATGTGCTTGTTTAAAGTTCCAATTATTCACCATAGTATCCATTCATAAGATAATCTTACCTCTCTGATCATTTTCAATCGCTAACACAAAATGAAGGCTGTTAAAAGTTCAACGTGTATATGTGTTAGTCTCTGGCTCATAGTGATTACACGTTTGCCAATAAACAAGGGTATCAATGGTTGTTTTATTGTAACATTAAGTATACTTACTGTTACTTATTGTTGAATTAAAAAAAAAAAAATTAAATATATATATTTTTCAAAATTATTTTCTATTTTTTAGTTTGGTTTTCTATAGAGAGCGTGTTTTTTAGTTTTTTTTAAATATATATTTTTTAAATTAGTGTATTGTCATCGGTCCTCGATATATCTACAGAGTTTGAACGTATTCTGACCGTTTAAAGTCAGTCAAAATACACATATAAGTGAAGCTAATATAAAACGTGTAAAAAGAACATTCTTAAATAATTAGGATTGTATGGTATCGTGGTGCATGATAAGGTTTTATAGTCAACTCTCGCATATTGTTCTGAAGCAGTCTTATTTGTAACGGTAATTCTTCCGTTAACTTGAAAACGACAAGGTTTAGACTCAAAATGTCCCTTGTACCAGAATATCCATTTCCCAGAATATTCCCATTCTTAGGTTTATACAGTCATTTCACTTTTAATTGAAACGAAATCTGTCTCTGCATGTCTATTGCGTTATTTAGTTGAAAAGATGCAATGGTAGCTTAGGTTAGTATTGTGACCAATAATATTTTGTTTTGACCGATAATATTTTGTTTGTATTTTAATTAATATTTGTTGTTTTGGCCTGATAGTGACCCTGACTGCTAAGCCGGAAGTCGTGGGTTCGATGTCCACCCAGGACAAATATTGTGTAATGAGCACGGTCATTTGTTCTGTGTCTGGGTGTAATTTATCTATAATATGTATGTATTTAAAAAATATATAATTATGTTTATCAGCAGTCTGGTTACCATAGCACAGGCTCTACCTAGTTTGGGATCAGACGGCCGTGTGTGAGATGTGTGAGATATATTATGTTATATTAATAATAGTATATAGCCAATATAATGAATGATAATAGAAATACAAAGACAGCTCTGACATTTTGGGAAATGAACGTTTTGAGAGACACATGGTGGGCAATGGACATAATGGAGAAAGGACAATTCGGGCAAGAGACTATTTGAAACCAAGGGACATTCTAAGCCTGAACGAACAATTTGAGCAATATGATTAATTTTTACATCATCATGGATTGTAGTAAACTGTATTAGTCTCATTCCTTAATTTGCCACACAAGAGATGGTATTTTTCTTCAAATTCGGATTCGGACTAAACGGAAAGTATGCAGTTGCGGTTTATAAATAAAAAAACAAACGAATTAACCAATTTTTTGAAGTTGGTTAGAACTGCTAATCCCTTTTTTTCAAAATCGTTAGATACACAATTTCAGATTTTATTAAGCGAGTTTCGAGGTTATAAAAAAATAAATGAAAAATTATGATCAATGTAAAATTTAATAAGAATTCGTTCCACAAAATATTTTACGACTTTACACAAGTCTATTTGGTCTAAAATTGTAACAAATACATTTATGTTAGACGACAATGTCATAATCAGAATATACAAAATCATAATCCTCTTATAATAACATCACACATTGTAACTAAGTGATTAATTAATTTATACACAATTGTCTTAAAATTAATGTTATAGAAAAAAGAAAAAAAAACATTTAATATATACTAATTTCTGTATAAAATTTAATACTTTTTACACACAACTATAGTAAATAAAGTTATGTATATTTTTTCGTTTCGAATTTACATTTTAATATTTACACCAATTATACAATAAAGAGGTATTTTGCTTTTTAGTTATTCGGATTATAATTGATTAGTATATACACAGTAAACACAATGTGTTAAGAACTAAAAATACGGCATTACTGATAACAAAATTGAGTATGATACCATAGTAACTTACTAAAAAAGTAACAAAATTGATGAAGTTGCTTAAGTAATAAATAATTAGTAGATTTAATAGTCGATAAACAGAGCAGTAAAATAAATAAAACATTTATGTCACAATATAATTACACAATAATTGTTTATTGGCTGAATAAATACTACTTTAGTCAGCTTTCAAATATAAATATGAACATTGTAACTAATGAAAAATAGTAAATACGTTATAAAAACGAATAAATAAAAAATGTACACATTGAAATCTCTTAAACACGTGTACAATTTATACTCAGTCTTAAGCCATTCGCACGGTTCACTGATAAACAAAAAGTATATACAGTAAAATGTAGAAACTAAAATAAAATATATAAATAGACAGAAATAAACGAAAAATATAATTATTTAGATTTAACTACTTCAGGCGTTAGTCGAGTTTGAATAGACTTTATACTTGAATTTCGATTTCCTTGAAGGATTCCGAATTTAAACACCGGCCTTCGTAAACGATACAGTAAAACAATAAAATAAAAGAAATAAGACACCCAGTGAACCAGCTTAAACTTTCGATTAATTCCAAGTAATAACAGGCGGGAATATTTTTAGTCGATCGAATTATCTAGTCTGAAATAGGCAACCTGGTTATTCTAACTAGAAATAAACTCGCCTAACAAAATGCGCACCCTATAACAACATCAATCATATTGCTTCATAAAATTCACATCAACAAAAATTAATACTTTAAGGGTTTGCCAACAAACTAACCATTGGATGTAATTACACTCGTGTGATTTGTCTACTATTAATAGTATAACAGATAGTTTATACTAACACCACATTCAAATAACTACTTTCGATACTAATAAATTAGGTTGAATTTTGATCGCGTTCAAGTTAAGTTATAAGACACATACAGCGATTGAATTATCTATAGCTGTTATAAATTCTCTTAGTGCCCTGGTTCAAGTCACATCCAGTGCGCGCATTACTACTGTTGGGACCACCTCTTCTTGGCCGTGTTATACCATCACTATGCTCCTTGGTAGGTATTAGTATTTAGAACGAATAAACGATAAAAAAAAAGTATGTCAGATTAACTAAACTCACGCTTAGAGCTAAACTGTATCTCAAAAGTGTGAATAAGAAAAGTATTACAAGTACCTAAAGTTCAAACTGAAAGACTGTTAAACAAATAGCGAATGACGCAAGTGAACAATATAGTGTAATAACTGGAAGATGATTCTGCAATATTTACTGAAACTCATATTTTTAAACATCGTTTGTTCTAAAACCTATAAAGGTGTTTAGGAGATCGCCGTTTCATGACGTGGATATAACAGACAGGGACCGAGATAGGTAATAGTTAGGGCCATTTAACTAAATTTTATTTCAGCAAGACTAAACTTACGGTGAAGAAAAAAACAAGTAATCGCATTAGTGTATTTACATCCTTAAAACAATATAGACAATTGTATCTAAAACTATTTAAATATATTCTATCTAATTTATGACTGATGTCTTTCGACATTTATATAAATTTATAGTACACCATTGACTGCGAGCGTCAGGGTAATCGCTTTAACGACATATAGTCATAAGTGCTACGTAAATTCAATTTTAACTTTCGCAATAAAATATGAGCAAAAGTGGAATCTTTGTTAAATAATAACAAATTATTTAAATGACTAACACTGACTACATAAAAAGAAACTTAGAATAATTTACTTCTCCCATTTGACAGATGAGAAATTAATGGTAAATGATTATATTTTTTATTAATTTTCTAAAAAAAACGATATCGTTTAATTTTCTATTATACTTTGTGCAAAAGTCGCAGCGAATGAATGCGCTCTAATATCTTTCTTTACTTAAAAGAAGAATTAAGAGAACAATTATCATGTATTCTTACTCTTGATTCTACAGAAATTTGAACCACAAATCAATTAAATTTAATAAAATGTAGAAAGTTTTAACTCCCTCTGGTTTTTTTTGTTTACCTAAGGACAGTAAAAACTAACTAATAAAAAAGGTGACAGGTATTCTCAATTCTTCTTTAATTCAAAAGTAGTTTGAAAAAAGAACCTGTCTATAAATTAGGTTTTTTTTATAAGTTACTACCCTTAAACTAAAATTTATTTTTATTACATTTAATTTGTCAATTTTCCTTTAATTAAAAAGAAAATCTTTATTACTTATTAGTGATACATTTTTTAACAGTTTAATAATTTACACAGCGTCAATAAGAAGCTTTATACAATCGCGTTAACTTTGTATGTATAGTGTTAGTGTAACTAATTGTTGCAACTCCGCGTCGCTACAGCAGTCAAGGTACTTAGCACTAGTGTACCTACGGTACGGGGTCAGCTCGCGCGGGATCGCAAGCTGGGGGCCGGCCAGCATCACTTACTTGAAGAAGGCTGACCGCGCTCTTCTGAAATTAATGTGCAATATATTAGTAAAACAATTCCGATTATCATCTGTTTTATCTTTCGATCAATCAAATGTTTTGCGGTGCTTAATTGCGATACTCATTTTAAGGTATATTTTTTTTGTTTTGGTCAGGGCTTACACTCATGACCACGATTCATGCTATGTGATCAAAATATCGGGTCACCTAAATAACTAATAGTACAATTACTTTGGATTTGCTATATCGCTTTTATTGCTCATTGGGCTGACGCCAACATCCCCCTTCCCCACTTTCCTAGAATGGTCCCGCCCTGTGATCGCGGACTACCAGAACTCAGATAAATTCGCCAAGATTTAACACAATAACGACGATAAAATTTTATAAACATGAAGTGTTTTGATAATACAAATTTATTTATATAGAAGACATACATTTACAAGATATGTAAGCGGTACATAAAGGGCTTCAAATAATAGATATTAGATTAGATTAATTAATTATCAATAATTGTAATGACAGACATTCGTATTGCAACACTTTCTCATAGCACGTATCAGTGTACTTCATTTCATGTTTACTAACAATAATAAATATTGCACAATTGTGTACAATTGATGACTAACAGGAAAGCCTTGTACAAACATCTGCCACTAAAATGTCTACACAGATAAAGTTACATTCTTTACTAGATATCAGAGATTTTCCTCCTTTCAAGTTCTAGGGGAATTACATACGAAGCTATTACATATATTACACTCGTAGTGTTATGTGGTTGTGGCCTATTTCTGGTGTGCAATAAATGCTACTTTTAACTCGTTACTAAAGTTCTGAAATTATCTAACAAGAGGGAGCGAAATAACTGTTTGATTCAAGGAGCAAAGTTTTGTGGCGGCTCTTCACTTGAAAATAGAACAGAATGTTGAACTATTGTTCTGTCTCAGTCGAAATTGAAACAGATCTTATAAATCATTTTGAAGGTTACGAATTCGTACGCAATTAGCAGTTTTTACTTCTCAATAGTCTGGTTACCATAGTACAGGCTCTGCCTTTTTTGGATCCCGACGGTCGTGTAGAGTCTTTATCCTTATTACTTTACTATGTACCATGTAGTTTTACTTGGGAAGTGTCAGTTTTATTTCAGAATATGGAGGTATTACTTATAATATAACTGGTTGAAGAAAAGAAAAGTATCAAAATAATAAAATCGCAAGAAATAAATTGAGCAGTATTAGAAATTCACTGACGATATCTGTTTTGCAAAGATTTTCAGTGACAGAGCTTGTACACAGTACAACATTAAAACGTATAGGTTTAGTGCACATGCACTAATTCAAGATAATTTATTAATACATACGAGGGGTGATCAATAAGTAATGATAATCAATATAAAACAGAACTATTAGATTAAAAAAAGTATTTTATTTTTCAACATAGTCTCCTTGCAAGTTAATACATTTAGTGTATCTTTTTTCTAAACCCATGATTCCCTTAGAAAAAAATTCTTTGTCTTGACCCTCCCAAAATGCATCTACTGCGGCCATCACTTCACTATTGTCCTCAAATTTGTTGCCCCGGAGGTGTTCTTTGAGCCGAGGAAAGAGGTAGAAGTCACTGGGAGCTAGATCTGGCGAATAGGGAGGGTGTTCGAGCAGTTCGAACCCCGTTTCTTCAATGGCAGCCATCGCAACTGCGGCTTTGTGAGCCGGGGCGTTGTCTTGGTGAAACAGCACTCCAGCGCGCAGTTTACCGCGTCTTTTTGACTTAATAGCTTCTCGCAATCTTCTTATTTGGCCTGCGTAGTAAGAGCCTGTTATAGTGGCCCCCTTTTCCAAATATTCCACCATAATAATTCCTTCTGCATCCCAGAAAACAGACGCCATAACCTTTCCCGCTGAACTTGACACTTTGAATTTCTTCGGCGTTGGTGAGGAAGCTCGTTTCCAAGTCATTGATTGTTGTTTGGTTTCGGGATCAAAGTGGTGGATCCAGGTCTCGTCCATGGTCACAAAACGCGACAAAAAAAATTCTTTATCGGCCTGGAACTTTTGAAGATTCACCCTCCAAATGTCGACTCGTTTTTTTTTTTTGCTCGTCGGTTAACATTCTCGGTACCCAACGCGCAGAGACCTTTTTCATATGCATTTTGTTGACAATGATTTTTTGAACGCTGCCATAGGAGATCCCTGTGACCTCAGCTACATGCCTTACGGTCACCCTTCGATCGGCCAACACGATATCTTCCACTTTTTTGACGTTTTCTCCAGTAAGGGACGTGGAAGGGCGTCCCTCGCGATGTTCATCTTCAGTGGAGGTTCTGCCCAGCTTAAATTCCTTTGCCCAGCGTGCGACTGTGGAATATGGAGGAGCAGACTCCCCCAATGTTTCCTCTAAGTCGCTGTGTATGTCTTTGGTAGACATTTTTTTCAGGCAGAGGTACTTGATGACAGCTCTTATTTCATTTTTCTCCATTTTGATGTTTTCTCTTCGACAGTTCGTATTCAAATGAATGTATCTCCCGGTAATGGTGTCCTATTTATACATTTTTTTGAAGCTGAAGTAGTGGATATATAAGCAAGCAGAAAAAAAATAATTTGGGTTTTTGTGCGTTCTAGAAATACTCGATTATCATTACTTATTGATCACCCCTCGTATATTTACAGTGCGGTATTGTGTTATTATCACAATAATGTACTCTATGCTTATTGTAGGTATTCATTTAATAGACATTGCATATAAGTCAGCGATATTCAATATGTTCTTGACAATATAAGTCTTCAGTCCATATAGATTAAGTTTATAACAAATTAAAATAGCAGTTTTTGGTGATTATGGATTATGGACATTACTAACTTCAACCCTTCAACCGAATAGACTTCGAGTTCAGTGTATCAATTCAAAACTCAACCTATCTGGGGGCAAATTTTCACTCAAGTCAGTACAGTAATTTCTGAAAGGAGAATATATGAAAACAACTTACTGTAATTCCTTAACGCCACTTCCCTTTCGTGTGCGTCGAAATACCATAACGTGATAGCGTATCTGTAAAATAAAAAGTGGTTTGTTTAATTTTTTTCCAACAAATAATACCACGGTACTCAGCGTAGGGTTTTGTTCTTTTGGGGCGAAAACTGATTAATTTCTGTTTTTTTCTTAACTGCTAAATTACTATATAATATGATTTACAACACGCTTAGATTTATGCAGCTGCTGCAAGAAAGTCAAGAAGTAACTTCTTCTTTCAGAGAGGTCTATTAAAGTTCAATCGACTACATTGTATTGTTTAGAAGAAGTGTCGATAATCTAAAGTTTCGGGTCGTTTGTAATCTCTAAAATCTACTTAAACAAAAAACTGTGTTAGTACCAAGTGGGGTACTAACACATCATGAGTTATACAAGACAGAGAAAAGAATCGTTGCCTGACGTGACAAGGCCAAAAAAACTGATTTTGTATAAGTACTTCCCTTTAAAAAGTCAAGAGGAAGACATAAAAAAGATGCAACAATAAGAAATGTACACTGACCTCGTACTATACGCTGGCTGCACTTCATGAGGATTCCGTCTGTCTGACCAGAAGAATAACATTCTGTCGAAAATTGGTGCTATATCTGCGACTTGATTCGTACCTTCGGGGAACACCCTGTAAATTTAAAACATTTATTTAGTGCAACAGTTTCAAACAAACAGCCACGACATTCATACTCTGAAAATCTTATATATAAAATTCTCGTGTCACAATGTTAGTTACCATACTCCTCCGAAACGGCTGGACCGATTTTTATGAAATTTTGTGTGCACATCGGGTAGGTCAGAGAATCGGCTAACATCTATTTTTCATACTACTAAATGACAAGGGTACCCACCCCTAATTCTTTTTTTTAATTTTTCCTAGAAATAATGTATATGGCAAAACAACGTTTGCGGGGTCAGCTAGTAAATAAATAAAAATATATAACCTACGATTACACGCTTCAACAGCAAACGAACATAATAGTAGAAAATATGTTTTGATTGAAAAAGAGTAGGACTCTACTTTTGTAAATAGCTACTAATTACCAAGTGTTGGTTTTTATTGACAAATAGCCAACCATTATCTACAATAAAAAAAATTGTCTTCGGTCCTTGATACGTTCGCAAAATTTCAAGTTCATCAGATCACCCGGTAAGGTTTCTACATCCATCGTCTTTTAGCTGAAAGATGTTTAGAGTCAAGGTCTTCCCAACTAATAACTTTATATGAATAAGAATTTTAAGTATGGTAACTATGTCAGCGGGAAGTACGAAATCAGCCTATGATGTAAGCTGAACTTCGGTGTTGAGACAATTGTTTAAAGGCCCACAGTTAATCCAAACTGACACTAATGTAGTAACGGTCGAGTATTTTAATTGATGTATTACGTCTTGTATGCTTATATTGGTCATTGTTTATTTCAATGGAGTCCCCTTTTGGGTCAGGTCACACTGTGGACGGGGCGGACGAAACGGAGAGCGAACGGGTTGGAATGTACTAGTGTCTATCACACACAGAATGATCGCACTCGGTGCGCAGCGCTAATACGATTTAATAGCGTGTCGCCCGCTGTCTGCCTTAATCTTTAATCAAGTCTAAAATTAATGTGTTATTAAGTAGTAGTAGTTTTGAAAATATACGAACCTGAGTAAACCACCGCATCTCTTGACGTCCCAATCTAGATTGAGATAGTATATGGCGGTGATGCAGCGGCCGTCCTTGTTTGGGTTGTCCACATGCTTTACATAATGGCTACCGGAGCCAGGGTAGCATGCCACCATCGCCTGAGAAATTAACACAAAACCTTAACTTTTGTTTAATTTTCAAAATGGTGTATTATTTAGGGACTAATTATGGAGACAAAAAGTAGCCCAATATTAGCGTAGTATGAAACGGTATGATTTTTTGTCATATTTAAAACGCGTTGCCTCTAAATAAGGAAGTTAAAGATGAGCTGATGGTCAATTCTCGCAATAAAAGTTCATTCAAAATGCAGTTCTGTTCTACTCTCGATCTCACAAATGTTTCAAAAGGTATTCTCGTAGTAAAGTATTAAACATCAAAGTAATGTGATTATATCGTATTGTAACCCAAAATTCAATCGGTATTCTGCTAGTCTTAGAACGGATCAGAATCCGATCCGAACCCATAAAAATACGAGAAGTAGTCGTAGAACTATTTCTATGACAGTTTACGCACTAGATCCGACTTCCGTCATCCGATCTCTTTCCTTTATCCGTGGATCTCTATTCCGGAGAAGATTATTGGCGGATCAAAGTAGCCCTACTGTTATTTGTTTAAACGCACCCAGAATTATTAACTTTGTCTGTGTCGTACGTACGTACAATAGCATTGCCAGAAGTTGACGCCGATTGAAAGGACTCACGATCAACGACGTGAAAGCTCCGCTGTGGCTCCGCGTAATGACGTATGCTAAACAAAAGGTGACCCCCGAATTGCTTGGATTAAAACCAGAAATCGCAATAGTGCGTAAACAATATAGAAATTCAATCAGTCAGTCAGCTTTTCCAATCCGTAATCACGGATCAGAAATCGGAAGCAATGCGAAAAGCAATATTCGAATTCAGTCCGAGATTTCTAGATACGTATTTTCACGGGTTCGGATCGGATGTAGTTCCAATTGTGCGAAACCGCTCTTACTCATACTTTACACCGAGATCGATCAACTTTTAAATGATTTTTTATTACGAGAATTGATTTTTAGATTTTTGAACGAATTCCAGTCGCGCAACTGATTAATGACTATTGACATGTACATGCTAAAAAGGAGGAGACGCACTATTATTTTGTGCCTATTGCGGTGGAGACTTTGGGCAGTTGGGGGTCAGAAGCTAAAAAGTTAATTGCGGAGATTGGTCGCCGAGTTAGGGAAAAAAGTGGTGACTCCCGCTCCGGCTCGTTTCTGGTGCAAAGAATGTCCGTTGCAATTCAGCGAGGCAATGCTGCCAGTATCATGGGCACCTTTGCACCGGGAGCGACGCGGGGCGGGTTATATGATCTGACTTAAAAAAAAAAAAATATAATTGTAACTTAAATGTGTGTATTTTAAATAAATATATGCTAAAAAGGCTAATTAATTTTTCTTGTATCGATAGGTAAGTAGTTTTATGTGCACGGTCATGTAATGTAATTCTTGGTGCAAAGAGTTTATCATTACAACTTGTGTGGTAACCTTCTAGGCATATAAGTATTTTAATTAGTGAGTAGGGTGGCCAAACCTCTTTGCTTTAGGGTCACTGCTTGGGCTTCAGAGATAAATTATTTGAATTACTAGAATAGCACTTGGAGGTATATATTCGTAGTTCGTACATAAAATATGATGTTTAGAGATACACATCCTGTTTGACTACTAACATGAACGTCATTTTTACCCGACTACGACAGAAGGAGGGTTGAAGGAAGGCGGAAATGTTTATCGAGTGTAAAGCATTTAGATTTCTCTGGCACGTTTTGTTGCCAAACGACTTGATGGATTTTGGCGTTTGAAGTGTCGTTACGAGTAGATTAGTACCATAATTGTGTGAGTGAAACTGGGCATACGAGAATTATAAAAATTGAAGTCACCGGTTTGTAAATTTTAAGTATACATTTTTACGCAATCGGGTTTTATTGTTTTAATAACTAACTTGTTAACACACATACATATCTGATATTATTTTATTTATTATTATCCGTTATAACCAGTTGTTGTCCTTATCTTAGTGGCCTCTCCAATTATACGACGCATGCATTCAACCCAGCATCTAAAAGTTCCTTTGGATCCAGTATTGTTTTCCGATCAGTGAGTTGTTGTTTACCTTATTGCAGCTCCCTCAAGCTAGACGTGTTTCTTATCTCTTCCATTATTATAAAATCTATTAAATTCCGTAAGAGGCTTGACGTCAAGCAGGTGGCGTCAAAAGGAAACTAGCCCAAATCTTGTATAGATAGATAAATGTATTTTTCGGTTAGAATATGGTTATTACAGATCTTATATGTTTTTACACAGCGCCGACCCTAGATACAATTCGGTAAAGGGCAGGAAGTGATAACAATAATGGTATCGCAAAAGATTGTTGTTGGCAGAAAACTGTAGGTACTGTATTTATTTATGTAAATCGAGAAATCAATACGATTATATTAAAACTGAAGAATTTAGATTGAATCTTGGCTTGTTTTAATTACTTTTGGATTGAATATCTTAGTTATTAGGTGAGGTTATATCCGTAGGCTTTTAATATCACAGTATGACCATAGTATAGGTATCGACAGTAGAATAGCGTCCATGGACTGCAATGCGTAAGTTGGTGATAGTGCGGATCAATCAGTGAGTAAAAGTGTCAGAGACCCGTTGCATAGACGTGACGCAAGAACTATAGTTACGTAAATCTTCCGGAGGGCCTACATTAACAATAGACGTATACGATAATAATGAAGGCTTGGGAAAGCCGAAGCATAACCATCTTCGAATGATAATTGAAGCATTATAATGGTCAATTGGATTCAGTAGATTTTGATACTCATGTATGCAGGTTATTACTAAAAGTTGTGGTTATAATTTAGGGCTATATTAAACGGTAATGAGTAAACCGCTAACAATGTGGTAAAAAACGCAGTTTTAATAAAATAAATATTTTGAAACAGAGATGAGCGCAACTTGAAAATTGATGGCATGGCCATATTTTTCTAAATAGTCTGCATAAAAAAAAACTCTGTAATTATATTTAAATTTCAAAATATTGCGTTTAGATATGCACCTACAGTGGAGTAGGAAAAGCATTTTTGAAGTAATAAAGTGGGCTACAAATAATGCTAAAACTTGACCACAAGTTTCTATAACATTCTGCAGATCAACAAAGTTATGTCCAAGTCGATTTCTCGTGAACACCGACGTGACCTTAAATATCTCTAGGTTTTTGGCAAACGAAAGTTAACATATTATTTTTAACTGTACTTCTTTTATGAAGAGATTAAGGCGGCCAACCAAAAAATCTGCTTTATCATACACGTATGAACCGGTCTCTTGTTTACAAAATTATTTAAAGAAATAAGTTGACATTACTATTAGCGCTTGATAATTGGTTATTATAATGTTGGTTAAACTTACAAATAAACATGTCCCAGTTGATATGCGATTGATTTCTTCCCATAATTGCGAGATCAATCATCTCGAAAATAATATAGGAGCAATCTCTCCTAAATGTCTGAGAATTATAATATTTTGGACATCTGACACACAACGCCATCTAGTTTCAAACTAAGCAGAGCTTGTACTATGAAAACTAAATTGACTGATAGAATACTTATATACTTTTTTTTTGTAAATACATACATATTATACATAGAAACACCCAGACTAAATCAAACATTAAATGTTCATGCACACAAATGTTAGACTTAAGCGGGAATCGAACCCGCGACCTTTGGAATAGCAGTCCGTTACACAAACCACTACGCCATCCGGTCGTCACTTAATTAAATTAAGTTAATTATTCTTGTAGGTACATCTATACAAATTAAATTACCAGCCGTGACTGACTGACTGATTCATGAACGCAGACCCTAACCCGTTGGGGCTATAAACTTGAAAGTTTGGTAGCTGATGCTTTATGTTGTAAGAGCACACACTAAGAAAGAATTTATGGAAATTCACCCCTAACGAAGTAAAATAAGGTACGATTTTAAGAGTTGTATGAAAATTCGTCATTTCGTGTTAAGAAATAATTATGGAGCTTATAAATAGCATAGGGAGCACCTAGCATCACATAAAGGTTGAACTTCACTCGACTTACTAATATTTATTCTAAAACGAGTGTGATGACTTTAAATAGGACCGCACCTACTTAATTTGTATTAGAGTCACGCGTAAAATATAGTCATAGCTTCACGTATAACTGTTAATAAAAAAACTGAATAAATTGCACACCGGGTGGTCCGATTACTCATTCAGTGCAGATACTTGCAAAACTGAAATTGTTGTTTTAATAGGCCATTGGGATAGGTCAACTATGATAATATTCATTTTAATTGGTACTAGAGATCGCCTGGCGATAGAACTTCAAACAACAATAAGTACGATCAGACGCGTCAAATCAAGAAACTAGTATCGGTTTTGCCCTTTAAGTGGAGGGGCAATGAGGGGGAGAGGAGGTTGGTCCAAACTTTTTACCTATCTCGTACCTCGGGCCCTCTACGGCATGTAGATAACCCCCTCCTGTGTGGGGGGATTGACCCTTTGGTAATTTTACTCCCGCCCGGTTTTATGGCCGTGGTATTGCTTCGGTATAAAAAGAATAGAATGACTTCTTGTTTGAAGAAAACTGGTCGACCACGCATCACAAGTGCAGTAGAAACAGAATCCTAAAGAAAATTATCAAAAATAATTGTCGTGCTCGAGCTGGAGAACTCACGGTGCAATGGAAGGACATGATTCACAAAGACGTCTCAGTTGATACTTGCAAAAGAGTCCTAAAAATAATGGGTTACGGATTTTACACCGCTAAGGAGAAACCACTGTTGACTGCTGTACGAAAGAAAAAGAGGTTGAAGTTTGCTCGTGATACGAAAGTTTATAGTATATATAAATGAACTAACTAATATGTAAACTGAAAGTTTACTCTTATTACCCAGCAATAAAATATTCTCGAAGCTCAGGTGTATATTATCCGATTTAAATGATCAAACAAACAGTACTAAGAACAAAAACAAATTGTCAAGACGTTCAGATGAGAAACTGCGAATACTTTGTCGGTGATATAGTTATATGCGCTCTAGCTATAATAAT